TTATTCTTCGTAGTGTTATCAGCTTATCATTATGAATTTATTACTTAGACTTTCTTAGACAATAAATTTTTTCTATAGGTAATATTGAGAGTATTGTAAATGCTTCTAGGGCATTGATATTTCTTATTTATAGCATACAAAAATTCTAGGGCACTACAATTTGCCACGTAACCGCTAATGTTTTGAAGATATAGATAAGAGATAGGTTTTAAATCCGAATAACTAAGGAAAAATTGTGCTCAACAAGGAGTTCTGATAAGCTAGGTTTTGTTTCACTCAAGAGGGTCCATCCTTCTTTTATGGAGAGGAAAATGAAAAACTACAGCTGGATCATTAAATTTTAATCTGTTCCACGCTTGGTAATATCTTACTGATATCCACTTCATTAAGTGAATTTGTAGTCACTAGCCAAGTTCGTACAACAGTCTGATCGACTTTGGTGAAGCAACAGACCAGTTGATCTGTCCCTCAAAGTGTTCTGTGCAGGATATGAGACACTTAAAGGTTATTAATTGGCGTGTCACCGGCTTCACAGTTTATTTCACGGAGATCAGATTTTTGCTTTCAATGGTTCACATGGGTTAACTAGGTTCCAGTCGTTACCAAATGCTGTTGCTGCTTTGAGCTCGGCAGCGCACTCCGGTCACCAGGTTTTTTGGTTTCATTCAAACTTTGCAAAAGTTTTAGAGTTACGGACATGTGCATCATATTGAACTTGCGGTTTACCGGAGTAGACCATCGTACGTCCAGAAGTTGTTAGAAGCCTAAATCTTATTAGCAGTGGGACAAGTAACTTGACTCTTATATTTCCATGCACTGGTCGTATTAATAGTGTTGTGATGAAGTATTGTCATATTTTAGTTCGGCTACCAAACGTAGTAGTAGTAGTAAACCAGTATTGCATAAGCGATGGCGTGGCATCGGCAACATATGATTCAAATAGTTTAAACCCATAGCTTCTTTCGTATTTGATAACTGTCGAGAAATTTCTAAGGTGGTACTTTGTATACCTTTCTGTGTACTGAGTAGCAGTTCGTTCCGTTCTAATTTGTGGATGTGAAACATGGTTATTAGGAGTAGATGATATTCGTAGGTTACTGGAATTCGATCATAGGTGTCTTCGGAGCATTGTTGATGTATTTTGAGACTATCGACTTAGCAATACCTTGGTCAGGAACAGGGAACGAGGTAAAGATGGAAAGTTGATTGATGAGGTAGTGAACCTTCATCAACTGAGCTGGTTATTACATGTATTGCGTATACCCAACCACCAATGTTGTCTGATGGATGGGTAGATAGGAAAGAAATTAGGGGCGGCCAAACCAGAATATGGTACCAGTTTATGAAGACAATGACAATAGAACTGAATCACGTTAACGGTAGACCATCTGGTTTGGGCCGCGTGATTGTTTTAACTCATGGCTAGAGACCGTGAATGAAATGGCCCGAAATTGTTTAGAATGGCACAGGTGCATCCTTTCTATTTCTTCCCCTAAGTCCCATGATTCTAAATTCCTTGTAACTTTTGTCTTTATTTCAATAATTTATTTTTTCTCGAATCGAATCTTCGACGCCTAATCGTTTTACTCACCACTGATACTGCATCTACTATTCTAGTATTTAGTCTAACAATTTCATCTGTGTGCTAATAAGGTATGGCAACATGAAAAGATGTGCACACGTTTATTTTTATTTATTCAAACACATAAACATTGGTACAGAGAGGAACCAAAAAAATATGCGCCACACAAACAATGAAATAGACTAATTTGGGGAATTTACAGCATAATAAAGTTATAAAGGCTTTTAATGTGAGACGAAATTTTCCGTTTGTCAAAACCAATGAGTGGAACACTAACCGGTGGACAAACGTACTTATATGATTTATTAATTCATTTGAACACATACATATTGGTACAGAGAAGAACCAAATGAATATGCGCCACACAAAGTCACTCGACTTGTGTGAAGACTGGGATACTGCCCGAACGCCCAAACTGAAACAGGTGGTTCCCTTAGGGGTCACACCCCGAGCCTTTGACATACAGGTCCAATGCACAAGACAGTGGAGCAACGTTCGGAGATGCAGTCCCATAGTAGTCGGTGACCAACAACATACGCCATTTGTTCGCTCAGGATCCTAGAGCCCATGTGCACCATTGGCTTGTAACTATGGTTTTCCAACTCCCCTAGGTGGATCCTCCGTATCCACCAACCCGGTTAGAGCATCGGACATTCGCTTTTCGTCCTCTCAATTTCGTAAACATTACCCTTGCCTTGAGAAGGGAGTGAGCAGGACTTCCCTGTCAGTGGCTGTATAAGCGTGGCCATAGGAGAGCATTTGGAGAGGGATAGCTGACTCTACACACTCTTGGCTGCATTTAGAAGCACATATACCGGTCTGGCCGTGGTAACTGACTTTTTGTGTCATTATCTTCCGAAATCAAATTACCATATCTAATTAGTCAGTTGCTTGTCCGCATGGTGGTTTTTTGTGGCAGCCATTTCACCTTTATATTAAAATGTGGTTTTGAATAAGGGAATTAGTGAACTTGTTTTTTTATCTTGAAATGGTCAAACGTGACCGCTATGAGCCATTACTCAAATATTTCTCAAGCTCTAAAGACAATCACTTTGTACACAGATATTCGCAGTTGAGATTATTCTTTTTCTAAGTATAAATGTTGTACATTACTTTTTTGTAATTATGCGGTTGTTTTCTTTAATTTCATTAAGGGTGTTACGAACTAGCGCTTCCAATCGATTGAATTCCGATTCATTTCTATCCAATAGAGGCAATCCCGGACTAGACACATCAGCATCCCCTGTACCTGCTTGTAATTTTTCAAATGTTAGCAAATCCGCTAATACGACTGAACATACACCAGACGTCGTAGTCAAAAAGGAGATTGCAAATTTACCAAGTCCTACTTCTGTTTCCCCATCAGTTCGTTCAAGTCATTCTACCGCTATGGCAGTTGACGTCACAACTAAAAGAGGTTTCTCACCTGCTGCACTGTCGGAAAGTGGGTCTAGGTTAGAAAAGTTTACGGATACTCTAAACAGCTTCGAGATGAAGTCTTTTTTTGATCCCATATTTATTTCTAAATATCAAGATGATACTTTACAACGTCTTGAACAAGAAGTAAGTATAACCCCTATGAAATGATAATCAAAACCCCCGTTTTTGTCATAATCTTTATTCAAATTAATATTTTCTTGTTTCAGGCTCAAATTGAGTCGAAAAATTTCGATCGACTACAGAGCGTTCTTTATGGAGAACTATCAGCTGAATCCAAAAAGTTGCGCGCGTTAGTTCGAATAAGTGAAGCAAAACTCGCAATTCATAAAGAGAAGTGAGTGTAGAAAAGTATTTAGTTCTGTGGTTAGTATTTTTCACATTTACTTTTATGTTAGCAATATGTTGAAAATCTTATTTATTATGGTGATAAATTTATTTGTTCCTAGTATATGAACGTGGCTTTCATTGTACTACCAATTAGGATTCAACTGCACCTAGTAAACTGAGCGATTATTATTAACTAGTTGGTTTTTATGTACGTCGTAGCTGGTCAGTGTTGTTTGTTAAAGCAAAAAGCAGCCGACCGTTCTACCCAGATATTTTCGACCCAGGGGTTCACATGTCATCCGAATCTTTAAGACTACCGCACAACGAAAAAAAGTTTGTTTAGAATAAAAGTCAAAATTATAAACTGTTATTAGTGTAGACATCAATCATCATGGAATATAACTTTATGTTTCCATACTAACGATCGAAGAGTTACACAAAAAGGGGTAACCACTAGTTTTCTTGAACTCCCATCGGCTGTGATTATCGGTACAACCTAAAAAGACTATTTCACGCTAACCGTTTAGAAAAATAGGTTTTCGTAATAAAATAAATAATTTTTCGAATGTCTCAAAGTTCAGGACAGTCATAAGATAAATAGGTAGCAAAATGTGGAGAATTAGTTACTGCTTACGGCAGTGTTAATTGGCTCTTCTGTGATCAACCAGAGTAATCTATAAGTATATAAGAGAAGACGCAGCCACTTGTTATTAAGGAATAGAAAACGTTCAGATACTCAAGTACATTAATCACTTTCGTTCCGTACACTACTGTAACCATTCAAAATAAGGTTTTAGATTTATTTTCGCTACGTATGGACATAAATAAAGATTTACCTGTCATCTTGCTGGTATAAAACAGTTTCTTAATTATCATTATACGATTGTGGAGATCATGAGACGATTGATGTGAGACCACTATTGAAGATGTGGAAGCACTGGACGGCCAATTCGTCACGTTACGGGACTCCTCAGCAATGCGCACCCACGACCTCGCTCGCCGGATTCGTACCCAGAGCCTCCAGTTTCGCGCGCGAACACTTAACATCTAGCCCACTGAGCCGGCATTCAACGGTGGTAATGTCTAATCTTCCAGGTTTTCAATGATAGTCTAACATCATTCATGATCTCAATCAAAAGCGTGTTAATTCGTTAGTCGAGATGCAACGTATACTTTTTCTCTTATTCAGACAAACATCATTGCAAGAGCTAATGGACGCGATTGAAGTGCGAAAACATCTACCTAATCTGTCTTTCGTAGATGATGTATTGTAGATAATTCGAACTTCTGTTACATACTTTCCTCGTGTGATAATGTTGGTTTTTCCGGACCCTGTTCAACTTGTCCAGCTTCATGGTGGCTGTTCTATCACAGTATTTCCCAAGTCTCGATAACTGGACCTTCATTTTGCATTCTACCTAAACACCATGATCTTGTTTATTTCCCTGAAACTGGCTATCAATCCTTATTCTATTTTCTTATAGCTATCTTCAATCCATTGTGTATTAATGATCAACATTTTTTTGTAAGTGATTGTACAGTTGTACACTTTCTTAAACTTTATCAGAGTTTAACTGATGTTTTCTGCTCTGTTTTGGATAATTGCCTAATTCAATAAAATTATGAGAAAAACTAAAGTCAAGAGTATTTAAACAAACGGAACATTTTTATTGAAATTCAAACATAAAAAAGTACATAAGCGCACGAGGGTATGTGCTATCGATTGTAAGGAGATACACAATTGTTCTTACATCACTAAAATTGTGAGCAAGGAATAAAAAAAATTAATAAGGCGCTGTACAACTCTTTACAGGAGACAAAATAACAAGCGTAAGTAAATCACTATGTCATTTAAAAGACTGGTTCAAAGTCTAGTTGAAGGTAATGAAATTGAGAGAAAATGTATATTTAAATATCACCACGAGTGCTTTCGCGCCAACCACCATTCAGTTTGGTTGATACTAGTGACGCACAGCAGCCTCCTGAAGTATAAAAAGACGTCACTGTATTCACATAACAAATTCAAACAACGTTGATATTCATAGTTCATTAAATATATGCTTATTTGGCAATGCACCGAACCTAACTTCTGTTGAGTTAATGCGTTCAGTATGGGTTCAGGTTAACTAATCAGATTGTTTTTAAATACAAAAGTTGTTTACGGAGACAAGCTTCCTATATATATTTTGCAGAAACAGCAGGTCTTGAGACGGATCCCTAGGTGGATTTCTAAGCTACCATAGAATAGCTGCTCAGTTATACTTTGTTTTTTTAAATAATGATTTCCCAGATTGTGACGACAACTAGCTTTAAATCGAGCAGCCTCTAAACTCTACTCGAAACTGATTCGAAACAAAAGTACTGAAAATTTTGCTTACTGAGTTTAATCTCTGGATGCTGTTTACTTTCTCTAATTGTGAGTTAGAGGTAGGATTATCGTCGACAGATGCATCAGCGATTTCTGGCATTGTGGAGCGTATGATAGAAAATGGCATAGCAGGAGAATATGTAGACGGTTCAGTATTCATTGAATGACTTGTTTTATTAATCTGGAGAGCGAATTCGACTGGACCATCGCATACCACACATGACAAAGTCGATTTAGATTCCCAAAATATCTGTCAAGAATAATATGCACTTCCATTTTAGACAGCACAGATTAAAATTCATTATAAAGGTATACACGATGATAATTTCGGACTTACTGAAACGGGGCAATGATAATTACCACAAAAATCGGTGATTCATTCGGCATAATTTGTTTTTGCGTTGTGCAGACTGTCTCGTTTGTTGTTGTTTTAAGTATATTACCGTTAATCACTAGATATTCAGGTGAATCTCAGGACGATAATATTTCACATAGACTACGGGGGTTTCAGGATTTAAGCATATGGACTGACATACAGGGTTTGTCACATAACAATAATAGTATGTTTAGCATATATAATTTCTGTGAGTACGAAATTCATCTACAAATCAGGCAAGATGTAAATAAACTGGTTCTAACTAACTTAGGACAAAAACTAGTTTTGTATCATAAAATAGTAGTTCTAGTCGCTTGATTAACTAATTTGAGGTTTTCATCAACTAACAGGTTATTGCGTAAAATGTAAACATTATGCAAATATATTGATGGAAGCAGTGACATAGATAGTTTATCTGCTTTAACCAAAATATTATTACTCATGCAGTATTGCGTATGTGGTAAGTTAGTGTTACCAGATACTAACTTGAAAATGTAATTTATCAAAGCGTCTCATCTTAGTAGATATGCATGACATCATCCAAAGTCATGAATTAATGTGATCAAACAGGTCAGACGGTTCTTCTTAAGATTATGGTCCTTACCAATGATTTTAAGACGGCTATTATTATTTTGAGAACTGATCTATATGAATCTACTTGTTTAGTATAAAGTTAAATTGGAAAAATTCTTACGTGCAAAACTTCATCGAGAGTAACTCCCATCAACCAATGTCCATTGACCTCCAATAATCTGTCACCTGGCTTCAATCTGCCGTCTCGAGCAATGACACCATCTGGTGAAATCCATGTAACAAATATTCCGTCATCATTGGCTAGTGATGAGTAATGTGATGCTAAATTAGTTACCACGTTACTATCACCAGTGTTAAGTCCACCTGTTACACGTAGTCCATATCGTTCTCCAGGTCGTTTCGTCACAGTGATACGCTGAATTGATAAGGAAATATTGCATCAAAGTGATAAGGTAATATTTGGAGGCAGATTTCATATATGAAGAATTGGTGTTTAACTTACCCTTAGCCCTGGCGGCGGAGGATCTCTCCGTACATCTAGTTGCAGTTCTTTAACAGGCTGGATTAAAGCTTGTACTGCTTCATCATGTGTAGCGTGCCTCAAGTCGACTCCATTAACTTTGAGAACTCTATCTCCGATACGTAAGCCAGTATTAAGAGCTGCACCATCTAGGGAGATCTATAATGATCAAAGTAAAGATTACGGAATTAATGAGTAAATGAATCCCTTAAATATGATACACAAACATTCCTGGCTAGTCACTTTTTCTGCAGTTAAAAGAACATTTAGTTCTACAACCACCAAAGCTCGAATTAATACAAATAGTGCTTAGTTGATTGTTCGTCCATGATTTTATCGAAATTTCATTATTTATGGAAGTTTGGATAAAATAAAAAGTAACAACTACCCAAGCAGATCGTATACGTTTAATGAAGAAGGGAGTATGTTACCTGTACAGATGTACTGCACGATATTGGTCGGACGCAATGATTGGTGAAAACGAAGAAAAAATGTCATTCCATTTCATAAAGTTTATTTCTCTACATACATTTTGAGTAAAAGAAGCCAGATTATATGGGGTCGCATGATAATTTAGATGTAAATATGAACGAGCTATAGTAAATGGATTTTTTTTGTTAGCGAAGTTTATCACCTACCCGAGGTCAGTTCAGCCACCTCAAAAAAAGTTGTGAGTGCTATTACGATTCCGAACAATAAAAACTAATCAGTTTGCCTTTTCTGAACTTGGTCGGAAATCAAAAGCATATGACATTTAGTAAATATTTACAAAAAGTAGTTATCATCGTCCAGTTTATCAGACTACGAAGCGTTGTTGTTTGTATTACACGATTTCTTTACAGAAATAAATTTGCGTATAACATGGAACATAGTGTAATGAGATTCATCTGCGAACAATCGACTATTACCTTGGATATAAAAATACCTGGTTCTTTGTTACCAAACGGAAGGCAACTAATATCGGATCCTCCGCAGATAGCTAAACCCAAAGGTCCACCATCATTTCGAACCGTAATTCTTTCCACAGGAATACCCTTTTCACTATATAAGTAAACCCGAGAATCACATTTCTCAGAAATATGACTGTTTGTATCCGTCAAATCTGTAGCCTTCGCAGTATTTTGTTGATTATTCGATCTTTTAACCGTCAGAATTGATGATGACGTTATAAAACCGTTAGCTGCTGTTAAAAAGAAAAAAAGAAACAAAACCCAAGCCTAGGAACGTTCATAAATCATCAGAAATGTAGAATATCGAAAACGGAAAAGATGATAAACTATGAACCTTACCTATCCCTTATTTAAAAAAATAACGAATTTATTTGGTCTGGAAACCATCACTAAAGGATAGATTTAACGAATATATTTTAATAACAAATATTTCTACGGGAAGTTTTAATTCATAGTAACTAACTGGAGATAAATTCATGCACAATAATCAAAATCTACAACAAATTTCAATATGCATAAGACATACATTTACATCTTCACTGAAATACCTGTAAGGCTTGTGCCAATATCGTAAACGATATTTATCTAGAGTAATAAGAATAAATACGATATCTAATTTGATGTTGGAATTGAGGATTGTCAGTGCAAATGTATGATATTACAAGTTTACTATATTAGGTCCATTTCTGGGTATCAGAAAAAAGTTTCAATGAATCTTCTTTAAAATAATGGCATATATTTTAACAACAAATGTTTTCGGTCAGTCTTTCTGGTCTGGGAGGATAAAAGTAAGAAATAAACTGACTCTGGCCGTTTGTTATCTTACTTTTTGACTGGAAACGTAGTGGAAAACTTTAGAGATTTGAAACACTGAACATTACTTCTCACAAGACTCTGAAACACCAAAGCTAGCCCAACAACAATCCATCAAATACATCACTGTCTATGACTTTGATGCAGTCTCTCAGTATGATGATGTCTAGATATTTTAAACATCGGAAAAATGTAGGAATATTCAAAATATTCTTACATGTTTTCGGAAGACTATCGAAATTATCGACCATGTCAGGATTATAACGAAGTAATTCCAAGTCTACCGAATCGTTAGAACTTGTTAACAACGAAATAGCTTCATCGTGACGAGCGTTTCTAATATCGACACCGTTTATCTAAAAAATAGAAAAAGAAAGAAACGTTGTTCAGATAATTTGCACTCGAAAGATTTTTCGCAACAGTTTTCTGCTGAGGTAAATCTGGGAGAGCGAACTAAGTTTCTTTTTGATGTAATAAATTACTTGTAACAGGTAGTCCAAAGGAATGTTATGGAAATAAGATTTTTGCTTAATTAAAAACAACTTTGTTAATCTATAACACGATCGAACCTACAGTAAAGTGCTGCAGTTTGAAAGACTCAATAATCAAGAACTATTCAAATAAATTTTCAGCTTGATTGATATAAGGTTAGATAAGAGGAAAAAGTGATTCATCATTCCATCATTACAAAGTTAAACAACTAGCTGAAATTATTTCCGGAAATTTCACTTCATAAAGTACGAAAAGATAAAATCAGCGACCACAACAAAAAATTAAAGCTGAAAACTCCCTATACGATGGTGTAAACCCATAAAAAAGACGATCAATAATAAATATTTTTGTCAAACATATTGAAACACTTACTTAATTACTTACGCCTGTTACTCATAAAGGAGCATAGGCCGCTCACCAGCACTCTCCATTCAACCCTGTCCTGAACAATCCTTTCCAGCTCTTTCCAGTTGTTATTCATCCTTTTCATATCTGCCTCGATTTCCCGACATAATGTGTTCTTTGGCCTTCCTCTTTTCCGCTTCCCTTCAGGATTACCTCATGATGCGGTTTGATGATTTGCGTAATGTATGTCCTATCCATTTCCATCGTCTTTTCCTACTTTCCTTTTTAGCTGGAAGCTGGTGTGTTCTCTTCCATAGAAGGCTGTTGTTGATGGTATCCGGCCAATGGATGTTGAGTATCCTGCATAGACAGTTATTTATAAATACTTGTACCTTCTTGATGGTGGTTGTTGTAGTTCTCTAAGTTTCAGCTCCGTACAGTAGAACTGCCTTGACGTTCGTATTGAAGATTCTCACTTTGATATTGGTTGAAAGTTGTTTTGAGTTCCATATGTTCTTCAATTGTAGGAATGCGACCCTTGCTTTGCTAATCCTTGCCTTTACGTCTGCATCTGAGCCTCCTTGTTCATCGATATTGCTTCCCAGGTATGTGAAGGATTCTACATCTTCCAGAGTTTCGCCATCAAGAGTGATTGGATTGTTGTTCTTCGTTTTGAATTTGAGGACCTTGGTTTTCCCCTTGTGTGTGTTGAGGCCTACTGATGCAGAGACTGCCGCTACACAGACTGTCTTTATCTGCATTTGTTCGTGTGTATGCGATAGGAGTGCTAGGTAATCTGCGAAGTCCAAACCGTCTAATTGGTTCTGAGCTGTCCATTGCATGCTGTATTTTCCCTCAGATCTCGAGGTCTTCATAATCCAGTCGACCACCAGAAGAAAGAGGAATAAAGAGAGTGAACAGCCTTGTCTGACTCCCGTCCTTACTCGGAATGCATCTGTCAGCAGTCCTCCATGCACTACTTTGCACTGTGGTCCGTCGTATGAGTTCCGGATAATGTTGACAATCTTTCCAGGAACTCCGTAGTGTCGAAGAAGTTCCCATAAAGTTCCTCTATCTACATTGTCAAATGCCTTTTCAGAACCAATGAAGTTGATGTACAGTGACGAGTTCCACTCAATTGATTGTTCGACGGTGATCCGTAGTGTCGCAATTTGGTCTGTGCACAACCGATCCCTACGGAATCGAACTTGTTGATCGCAAAGTTGGGCGTCTACTGAATCTTTCATCCGGTTCAGCAACACTCTGTTAAAGACTTTCTATGGTACTGACAGTAGTGTAATGCCTCTGTAGATTTCACATTTGCTCAGATCTCCTTTCTTTGGAATCTTGATGTGTCCTTCTTTCCAGTCTATCAGCACTTGTTCCTTATCCCAAATCTTTTTGAATAGAAGGTAAAGCATGTTTGTAGTAACTTCGATGTCTGACTTCAGCTGATATGTTGTCGGGTCCTGCTGCTTTCCTGTTCTTGATTTGTCTGATTGCCATTCTGATTTCTTTCGTCGTTGGTGGATTGACATCTATGGGAAGATCTGTGTGTGCTGCTTCGATGTCCGGTGGATTCATTGGAGCCGACCTATCCAGGAGTTCGTTGAAGTACTTTACCCATCTGTCCTTCTGTTGTTGAAGTTCAGTGATTGGCCTGCTTTCTTTGTCTTTGACCAGTTTCTCTGGTTTATTATATTTCTTTGTTAGTTTCTTCGTTGTATCGTATTGAGTGAATAATCACAATGAAATAGAATAAGTCTCTACACATAATAGGTAAAAGTAGAAGTTTGCAGTAGGAAGACAGGTGAGTAAAGCCTGATGACGATCTAATTGAAAACAATTGTTCGCTTATATGTGTTATTCTAATTTTCACAATGGGAATCTTTAATATTTTACTATCATATTGAAACAAGATGTAGTCAATATCAAGATACATCTAAATACTTAGAAATAGTAAGTAGTATAACCACAAAAGCGAAAGTTTTGCCCGAACCTAAATACCGTGCTTATCAGAAAAGATTGATAAACACCACAAAGGAAATCGTTAAAAAATTGAGGTATATTAAGTAGAGAAAACTAAAACAGATTTAGAGCGGGAATATAAAACTTACGCTAATAATTTGGTCACCAATTCGAAGTTGGCCTTGTTTATGAGCGGCTCCACCTTCTGTTATTTTACTAACATATATAGCCTAAAATGAAAAAGTATATAGAAGTACAATTTTCTCAATCGGATTCAAACAATTTAACATTAAGACACTTGAATATTCTTTTGCCATTGAAATAGTATATACCTTCATCAATTCGAAAAGTGATGGTGCTAGGAAGGTACCTACGTGTCGACCTTGCTGTGGAAGTTTAGACAGTGAATTATGGCAAATCTGATAAAGTTTGAACAATTTACTATTCAAAAATGAAAGAATTTAATACAAGTGAAAAAACAAAACTTCAATTATTAGACAAAGAGTTATAATTCTGAGACTATATTATGGGAAATAAACTGGTTTTTATAATAGCATTGAGTAAATTGTTACAGATAATAATATATTTAAAACAGAAAGTTAGTTGAATACCAGTAGAACTATCTTATTACATTCAAGATTATTCAGTGTCATTGAATTTAATATCTGAAGGGAAGAGCTGTAGAATACTCATTTTCATCGAAAAAAACTGTCCATGATTATAGACTACTTATTTATATATACTAACAACGTTAACTGCTGTTTTAACAATCCAATAGAATTACACTCAACTAATATACAATATGTAGTATACATATCCAACTAAATCAACATTGCTTCAGTTAATACACCAATAACATTTCAAACTTTTACTAAGTTTAAAATAGCGTTTTATTTATGTATTTACTTTCAGTAATTGATGCGAATATACATGCTCATGAGAAATCATAAAGAGTCTACCACCCCATTTAAACAGTAATTGATAATTCGTATATATTGCTTACAGAGGTGCTATTATGTAAATTAGATGGTAATTTCCCTGATTATTTTATTGTATTAACTGATAAGTTAGCAGCGATCATTTAATTTTATTTGAAATTCACTAACAGGATGTAATTGGTTTCTTATTAGTGTACATACTCAAAGTAATAACAAGGATGTAAACTAGTTCCTTTATAATTATGATAGGTTCAGGAGTGGACTAAAGAAAAAACACTTTCTCGCATATGAATAAATCTAGTTAAGGAATTATTCAGTGAATGTAATGCATATCCGAAAGTTATTACCAAATACAATTACCTTGAAAATTTACTTATTCCATTTATGAATTGATTTTATAAAATTCTCATCTACAAAATCTCATTTACTTAGTTGATTTCACTGATTGTATGTCAAAGTGTAGTAATTATAATAAGCAGTAATGATTTAAGTAATATATATTGCCAGCAGAAGATTTAAACCTATATAGACTTTTTAAATACTAATGAGTATAAATATCAAACATAACAAATCGTGTAACAGTTAAAGTCATTCATTCAACTAATTACCATTTTTTAAATATGAATGAGTGTGTACAATAACTAGGTACAGTATTCAAATAAACACTGGATATAAAATTTTGAAATTATATATTTACTTATGCCTAATCGATTCGCCAGAAATATCAACAATTTAGTATTACTGTTATAATAAATTTGATAATGCAAAGAAACTATAAACATAATAACAATACAATTATTAACCTGGATTCAATGGATAACAAAAAACTTAATCAATAGTAGATATGACAAGGTATTGTCAATTATTTTTTATGTTTCACTATTGTAATACATTTTTGTGTCTTGATTGTATATTGATAAGAGAAAATGTTTTTTTTTTCCGAATTCAATCAATTAGTTACTTAATTATATCTCCTTTGTATAAAAATTAGTCCATTTTTAGACAAAACTAGGATAAATAATTGTTTGATTATTAGTTAAACTTTCGATATTGCAATGAGAAGACGAAGTTGATCAGAATTATGTAATATATGTGCGCAATACATTCCGAACAATCTGAACACACATATATACTTGTTAAGACATTTTTATATGAAAATTAGAAGGTTAACTAGACAGGTTAAGGGAAAAAAGAAAAGTGATAATCACTCTGGGTAATATAATAAATCAGTATTACCAGGGTAGGACAAATTGTTTTTTAAACACATAAAGAGGGTTTCAATTTCTGTATAGCTAAGGCTTCAATAAACCGTAGTATACGTCCTTGAAAGCTTTTATACATCACTACAAATGCTGGCTTGATGTCAAACTTATGACCAGTCTCAACCAAATGTTTAGCAATAGAGGATGATGTCTGTCTATCCCATGATCTTATTTGATCAAATGTATTGAGCGAATATATCACATAATTCTGATAAACTTCGTCTTCTCATTGCATTGTCGAAAGTTATCAAAGGGACTAATTATTAGCTGAACGTTTAGTATCAAGGTTCAGTTAGTAGTTGACTTTAATAGTTCTAGTTTTGATAGAATGGTGTCAAATAAACGAAACTTCAGTATGAATAAGACAAACGTTTAGGTTCTCAATCGACTACTACGATAACATTTCAAAGATTGAAAAAAAATCTTGTTATATATCGTTTAATAACTAGTTAGTTTACTTAAAATTGAAATTAAATCAGATAAAACACAGTATCATCACATTCAATTTTAATGAAGGATCAACTATAATTGAATTGAAATAAAACAAAGAATGAAATTATTTCGACAGTTAAACATATTTTTGATGAAATCAAATTAAAAAAAAGAGGAAAAAACATTTTTACGACAGAAGGGTCATTTTAATTTCATTCTTTGCAACATAGAGAAATACATATATAATTCATCGTAATTAAATAATTACAAGCAATAAGTACAACACTTCATCAATAACATGGATACATAATACATAACAAACGCTTAGAGAATAAAAATGACACGAAAAAACCGATTACAACATAGAATAGTTAAAGTAAGGCATCAAACAAGAATTTCATTTGAAAGTAACCATTGAATAATATATGGTACTTTAGCGGCCCTGGAATATCTGACTCCAATTTGATCACCAATCCTTGTATAAAACTATCGATTTAAACCACATTAGTGAATAACGGGATTAAATAAGTCAAATAGGTGAATGGATTTCGAATATGTATATTTCGTACAATTGTTGATCTAGGCGGATGATCGGAGAAGGCATGTGAGCCAACTCACTCTAACCAAGCGTTGCTCAATATTTATGGCCAGACAAAATTAAGTTAGATACGTGATGAGTAGGATAAAAGATGAACACACACACACGCTTACGCAACTTGATCGTAGCTGCTACCTTGACGCGGTGGTCGGGCTTGCTTATCGTGATGACCCAACCGAGCTATATGGGTTGGAACATATGTTCCCGTAGGTTCTACCATGCCAGGCAGGTCGATTGGAGAACGGTAAGACTAACAGCAGCAACTCAAAGTCTGAGGACGAAGTCGTACTGCTGACTGCAGAGGGGTGTGACAGCAGTAAGGTGTTTCCCTCAGACAACCAGCATCTGCAGCGATGCTGCCTTCTCACAAGGAAAGGGTTAGAGAAGGTCGACCCTAAAAATGCCACACCTCACCTTACCTCACGGATTTCCGTCTCCGGCAGTAATGCCCTTTGAAGAACGGAGCGAAAGAAACCTAGGTGGATCTTATGATGTCGTGGCTCAAAGAACAGATAATGGCGACCGTCTGTTGCAGCTATGGTCAGATAACCGCCTCTTTCTTGCAAATACTAACTTTAAGCATAAGGAAAAACATCTTTTAACATGGCGACTCCCTAATTCGTCCCAACGTTGGACCCAAATAGATCACACCGCCATCAGCCACCGATGGAGGGGCTCGATAGAAGACTGTCGCTCATTTTGGAGCACATGCTTAGATCCAGATCATTTTCTAGTGCGAGCGCGTATCTGTCTGCGTCTTACTGGGCGTAGGAAAGACGCTGCAAGTAAACCTTTTGGGGGCCTACTTAATGATAGTCGAGCTAAGAGTATATTTCAGGAACAACTAGGAAAACAGTTAGGTAGCCATGTATGTGATGCCCACCCCGAGGCAGCATGGAATGATATCCGAAAAGCTGTGGAAACAGCAGTGATATCAGCTAGTACGGTAACCCGTATGGTTAGGGAGTAACATTGGATCTCAGCAGCATCCATTGCACTGATAGATTCTCGGAAACTCATTCCATCTGGCTCTGAACATAACGAAGAGCGGAGTCAGCTTAAGCGCAAGCTGACAAGAAGCCTACGCAATGATCGTGAACAGTGGTGGGTAGCGAAAGCAAGAGAGATGGAGAAGGCAGCGGCAGTAGGTAATAGCAGACAATTGTTCAGACATGTTTAGGAAACCGACTGTTAGCGAAACACTCTCAGAGAAAGATGACATATTATACATTCTCGATCGAGGAGATTGGATCGATGGGCAGAACACTTCAGGGATCAGTTCAACTGGCCTTCAGTCACACTTCGGTTTCCCACGATCTCCAGTCAACCTGAATGGCAAGTTAATGTAGGTCCTCCGTCTCTTAACGAAGTTGAAAAAGCTATAGGAAATCTGAAGCGAGGGAGAGCAGCAGGCCCTGACAGGTTTACTCTTGAGAGTTTTAAGGATGGTGGTCCAGTATTAGCAATGAGATTAACCGAGGTCTTAGGTAGAATTTGGGAACTGGACGTAATCCCATCTGACTGGTCTCAATCACTGATTGTGCCAGTCTATAAGAAAGGACAAAAGTCCTCTTGTGACAATCACAGAGGAATCAGTTTGACTAATATAGTGTCTAAAATATTAACTTCAATAATACTTCGACGCTTAACTAAAGCTCGTGAAGAAAAGACTAGAGAAAACCAGGCTGGTTTACGACCTGGACGTGGTTATATAGACCAGATATTCACACTATATCAGGTCCTAGAAAATAGACACACATTCAGACGCCCCACAATCGTAATATTTCTCGACCTTAAGGCAGCATTTGACTCTGTTGATAGTGAGGTTTTATGGCAGTGTGTGTCACTGAAAGGAGTACCAAAGCATTACATTAACCTTATTCAGGCTCTCTAATCGAACACAACTGATAGAGTGAGAGCTTATGGCGAACTGTCATCAGGATTGATTACATCAAGTGGTGTTCGTCAGGGCTGTCTACTCTCTCCATTCTTGTTCAACTTTGTCGTCGACGTGCTTTTAGAGATAACATTTTCCTCATCTAAATTTCCAGGGGTTGAACTTCTACAGGGAGGTTCACTTGTTGACTTAGAATATGCCGATGACATAGTTCTATTTGGTGAAGACGCTGACAAAATGTTGCTTGAGGATTGCGTTGCATTGACACCTGAACTAATGATAGGTAGTGAAGTAGTTGAGCGTGTCAACCGCTTCACTTATCATGGAAGTCTCATTAGCCCTTGTGGTCTGGTGTGTGACGAAATATCAGCACGGATACAGAAGGCTCGACTAGCTTTTACCAACTTGCGTCATTTATGGCATAAGCGAGATATCCGTCTATCAACCAAAGGACATGTTTACTGAGCAGCAGTTCGTTCCGTCCTACTTTATGGCAGTGAAACATGACCGGTAAGAGTAGAGGATATTCGTAGATTACTAGTATTTGATCATAGGTGTCTTCGGAACACTGCTCGTATATCCTGGGACCATCGAGTAAGTAACGCAGTTGTTATGAAACGGATACTAGGTAAGGATGGCAAATCGATTGATGAAGTAGTGAAAATTCATCAGTTGAGTTGGCTGGGACACGTGTTACGTATGCCCAACCACCGAATGCCTCGATGTGCGATGTTTTCTGGTGTAGGAGGAGGTTGGAAGAAAGCTAGGGGCGGTCAGACCAAAACATGGCACAAGTCCATGAAGTTACTGGCAAGCGGTCTGAGTCATATCGGTAGGTGTAGACTATCTGGTTGGGGACCGCGAGATGATAGCAACCGATGGTTAGAGACCCTGAATGATATGGCTCAAAATCGTTTGCAATGGTGCAGGTGCATACACTCTTTGTGTTCTCCCAAATTTTAATCTCCTGAATCATTCTTGTCTCTTTTTTTTCTCTTCCCAAGTTTATTTCACTGAATTATACTCCTTAAATGACATCTTCAAACCCTAATGTTTCCGATTACTACTTATACTCTTACCGCCTCTACCACTAAGGGATTTGAATCGACAACTGCATCTCTGTGCTAATGTGATGCGGCAACTCGAACTGATGTACGTACGTACGAAGTTCTATGTCGTTACTGACTGACTGAAATACGGTCGAGGTTGATAAACGAATGATTAACAAGGTCAAAATATGACTCGACAAGCATTAATAAATTGGCCTGTCCGGATGCTAAAATAACCTATGTGGGCTTGACATAGTACCGGCCTCTACAATACAAAGCAGTGCAAATGGAGTGATTCGTTTAAAATAAAAATACCTCAGTATGAAATAGTTTTGTATAACTGGTCGACAGGTTTATCAGATAAGACAAGAATTACAGTAAAATCGCTAAGTGAACATGATCGAGTCATATATCTATTGAACTATAGAACACACATACATTATTCAAAAATGTTTAGTTTGTATTCTATTCCGATTTATTTGAATTGAGACAAGAATCCCTGATTGAAGAAGAAATAATGATAATTCATTGAAGAAAATGTTCTTTTCCCTAATTGGTTATATAATGTAATATAAAATACGAAAAGATGCTCGTCTCACTATTTAGACTAAGAATATATAGATTATAACTTCAAAAGGAGAATAGCAGTAAACTCAAATTTCTGTAAAAATGAATCTAGTTGAAATAAAATTTCATCATTTCTTCAAGTGATAAGAAATAATTGATACCTGAACAACTGTTATATACAACAATTAAGAGAGACGAATATATGAGAGAAAGTATAAATTATACACTTTTCTAACCCCTTTTTATCATTCTGTTTAAGAAATTAAACATTTTGCGGAAATATTCAATACATAACAAGACTGGACGGTAACAAACATAAAATGATATAATTTTCTGCAAACAAACAAGATTATTTTACATTTACAAAGAACAAAAGTTAAGATTAAACAAGCGTGAGAGCGAATACATAAAGGTTTGTGTCAAATGTTTTGAACAAATTATAATCACAACAATGATAAAAATAGACTTTATCCGACTCATTAATATTTATAGTATAATAATAATAATTAATATACGACTATTTGAGAAAAAATCGAAATTAAAGATTAAATAAAATTAACATTGGAAAAAAATAGGACGAGAGGGGAAAGTAAAGCCCACAAGGCAGTATGATTGATGTCAACGATATAAACTATAAACCTACCTCAAGATATTTGCAATTCTATGAGAAAAATAATGTAGTTCCGTGTCAAAGAAAAAAGAAGACAATTTCGTAGAAATGATTAAGTATCCTCTAACAAATCGACGATCAATTATTGATAATAATAATAATAATAATAAAAGCAGTAGTATATGTTGAGCCAAAATGAAATAGAAATCATATTCTGAATTCATGTAGACTTAATAATTAGAATATAATAATCGAAGAAACAATAATGGTAGAAGTAGTAGTATTTAAATTTACATTTAGAATATGCAGAACTACTGCTGATGAAATGTTTATATGTATTTTAAGAATAACTATGCCTAATATAAAAATGATGTTAAATGCTTGAATTATTGATTATTCTTGGTATTTAAACGAAAAAAACACGTAAATGTAAACAATACTGTTGTTAATTAGACCTTCATCAAGCTTTATACTCTTATTAATATGTATATTACGATTTTCAATTGATCAAACGGATTATTTGTACAATTCTTGTTGGATAATTTTTACACACTACTGAATTCCATAAACTTATATTCTCAAAGTTTGATGCAAACATGCCAACCTAATATCCAGTATGTACAGGTTGTTCAAAATGTATAGCGCAAATACATCACATTTTTCAGATCAACTCCGTCTTCTCACTGTTTTATCAAAATTTATACAAAGGATTAATTGCCTCATATGTAGTTTATATTTATTAAAATTAATCATGTACTCTTATTTCATGATTATTAACATTAACTCATAGATTGTCTGAATATATATATTACTAACTTATACTAAAGCCTGATATAGTATCATTTGTTTATGTGTGATGTCGATACATAATTCCTATTTAAACATTAAAAAGACGAAGTTAGGCGAAGGGATCTCCTTTCAACGAATTTATTATCAAGCTGTATAGTCGTATATATATATATGGTATTGTTACTACTCATATTATTTAACGGAGTATAATAATATTATTACGACTGCATCATGTTTTTTGATATAGATATATACGATTGTACAGCTCGATAATAATTTCGTTGAAAAGAGATCCTTTAGCTGAACTTCGTTTAATATGTGATGTGTTGTTCAATCACAATGAAATTTTTTTATTATTTTAAAATCCTTTTAATTACAAGCATGAATTATTATCTATTGGCTTTTACATACACAATTTTATTGAAGTGTATTAAAATTGTTAGTTTATTTATTATTTTTAAAAAGTCAAATATCAAAACAGAATAAAAATAAAACTATGTGAATTGTTGATTGACTAAGTCACTTAAAAGAGGATGTAATGAATGAAGATATATATATATATATATATATATATATATATATATATATATCACAGGACAATACATCATTCAATATTAGAAACAATATAAATTGTAAATGAAAACGGAAGCCTAGAGTAAATAAAATTTTTCTTTATTGTTTATAATGTTTGAAATATGATATAAAAAAAACCCAATAATACATTAACAATTTAATGAATATCAAAATTTAAAATTTTTATCAGCAAAACTCACTTCATTATCTAATGGTGGAGGAAGTGAGCCTTGACCACCGGCAATACTAAATCCTAAACCATTTAAATCTCGATGTAATGTACAGTGAATAAACTGTGTCAAAAAAGAAATTAAAACACAAAATAAGTTGATGTATTGTAACATATTCTCTATAGATTTTCATAATTGCATTATTTACGCTTATGTAATATACAATTAACAGTTTATGTAATTGATGAAGGTTAAATTTTCAATATAGGACGTACAATCCGTAATATGAGACTGATAACAGTTATTAGATTAGTCAATAATTGGTACTGTACTTTGGGTTTTTTACGCAAAAGTTTACAGTTAACAAATTGTTACATGTAACAAAGTTTTCCCAGATTTATATATTTGAAAAGAAACTTAGAATACACAATGTTAAAGTACGACAATTCACTTGATAGTTGTGCATTAAAAATTGATCACACTATCTATCTATCTATCCATTTCTTTTGTGAACGTTAACTTAAAATTATGTTTGGTTTTAGATTTAAAGTTATACCACTATTTTATTTCATAAAAAGGTTATTAGTGTGAGGTGACAGTATGACTATTAAAACTGTAATAAGAAAGCGAAAAACCACTTACTTCAGGTATTTCTTTGGTGTTAATAGTTCCCGTAACCTAATTAAATCAATGAAAGGAATGATATGAATAAACATACATTTAGATCAATAAGTATTTATTAAGAGACCTACATTTATAAAGAAGGCGAAAATCTTATACAGAAAACCTTATTAAAATAGTAGAATAATATATTCCCTTAAATGTGATAAAGGCTATGGATCTAGTGGATATATGAAGTCCTAAATCTGAGGAATATTTAAGTGCTCATCGGACATAAAATACGTAAGCACGTCTACATTGTTTCACACTAATCAGTATATTTTGTTTAATTTGCAAACAAGAATGTTAAGATTGAGGTCGGATAAATATTCGCTCAGTCGTCTTGTAATTCAATGCAGAGGTATAAGTGATAAGCAGCTGTTAGCGGGACATAGACTGGATTAAAGCAAGCTCAATGCACGATTGCTTTGGTGTACGCTGATTAGCTAATTCTTATCCAATCAGCACTGGCCGATAGTTGTAGAATACTCTAGAATCTTCTTATGTAAAAAACTATAAATATAATGACGTTTTCCCTATTGTGCTTCTTACTTGCATATTACTTCCATCTAACCTTGTTATTTGGAATATAATCTCTTTCCTGTTCAACCGTGTTCTGATTTGGGGACTTGTCGAGTGAATCGGTGTCCGAGAATACTAAGCAATAGGAATAGCTGGGTCATAACTGTAAGAAAGAGATTATAACACATTCACTTCGTACAAACAGATTATAACAGTAGCTGAATTGGAAACCGACTTTTTAGGTTGTTAGTTGAATAAATGTAAGCGTTTGCACTCCAGATTTCGACTTATCTTAAAGAGTGATAATAATAACCTTAGCGTACAGTTTATTTTGCTGCTGAACTAATCAGTATAAACCCTGCAATCACATTTCCGCTACAATTTAACGCTACTTGAAAATGCACAATGGCTCATATTTTCACTAGATAACACTCTCAGTGACAGAACAAATGTTGTATTTTTGATATTTTCATGATTTGAGAAGTGAAGAATTGAGGAAAGTGATCAAGTTTGTTGTTGATTTGTGTGTTATCAATTAATGAAAGAAGTCAGTGGATCCAGAGGGTGTGAGCAGTTAGCATCAGAATATATTGTATTACATTGGATAATCAGTCAGTCACAGCTCCATACGTTATTTTGACAATCAAAATACACTTATAGAAAATCTAAAATGTGATCAACAACTGTATATATTATCAGAACATGACGCATTGTAAGCTAATAAGTAAGATAAACAGTGAAATTGTCTTGCTACACATAAACAAAAAAAGGATATATGAAATGATGGATAAGGGAGATATATAACAAAAAAACCCAGTTTTCTAAATAATTCAATCCTGTACAAACTTAAAGACTTAACGATGGCAATTTTAGTGTTTTGCAGTTTTATTTACCATGATTTTTATATAAATCACCAACTGCTTTATGATAGAATAAAAGTTCGTTCAGAGGAATCTTAATATAGAGAAAAACAAGGTGAGGAAAATTCGAATAATCCAGGAGATATTTAGAACCTTGCAATACAAAATTCGCGTTAAAATATGAGTCAGTCCAATACGAAATAGGAATGTGAGATACACACAAAACGGTAGAAGTGTTTGACAAAAATAATATTCAGTACAACAAATAATCTGTTGAATAAAGCGATTTATAATACACGTATTGATTGTGATTTTGGTTTTCCTCAACAAATTAGCTGCATCAACTGAGTACTGTCATGTAACGTTAACCACGTCAACAGGATAAAATGATCTTTAAAGTATTAATCAATCTACATTATTATTGTATACAATTAAATCTCTTATAACAACCGAGTAAATAAAAACTGACAATACAATAGGACGTTTAATGTAATTACAAATTACAAATAACGAAACGTTCAATTAGTTGTTGATCACGAATGTACAATTGGTTAAGAAATAGTGACCAACGAAGCTAGTTTATACATGAGAAAATTATTAATAAGTCGTGTCTTAATTCCGTAATATATTGAAAATATACAGTTGTCTCAAAAAAGAATCAAAGAAGATTAAGTAACAACCACTTGCAAAATATATACATGGAAATATATATTGATATGAAACAAATGAAAATATGCAGATTATTACTGATCCTTTTCTTAAAAAGGGATGAAAGTAAATCAGATAGCAAATTATTAATTTTGACTATACAATTAATTGGTATTTTTATACAAATATTGTTTCTCTATTTTAATTGTCAAATTTACAAGTACCCAGGAAATGAATGATTGATGATTTTCCTGTCATCACGCATTATATACTAAACTTGGCAATTATGCTTAGATTTGTGTTTTAAACAGTTCCTTACTCCAGAGAAAAAGATTACAACGTTGAACAAACTATAACAGATGAATAGAACTTATTATTATTTAATTATCATGTTTCAAGTGTACAACAAACTAAAATCTAGTTTAAAATATTGGAATATACAATAAGATTAATAAAGTTAAACAAACAAAACTGGGATATCTATTCCCAATTTCCTTTTATACAATAAGACATTATTGCAATGATTCTTGCATTCAATCAGTCAGTCATAATCAATGTAGAACCTGGTACAAATGTGCGCTGGTTCAAGTTACCATATCATATTAACACGTTAAGATGAAACTAAAAAGATGAACAGCCAATGAAATCGAATAGATTACATAACAATAGCAATGACGAGGCAACATTGAGAATATAATACCGAAAGATAGAATCAAAAGGTATGGGGTATGCAGAAACACTAGAAATTAAGATTTACAGTAAGATAAGAAGTGAATGTATCTGGGCTACGCCACTAAATGTTTTCAACACTTGATCATACATATCTTGACTTATCATTGTGAATCAACTAAAATTGTAAAAAATCAACAGTTTGAATTTCATGCTGGAATTCTATTTGGTTTAAAGGTTTACTAAAACAACACATATTGATAGATCCTTTATTTTTAATTATTGTATTTTATCAGTATAAAATATGCTCTAAATAATATTTTCAGATAGACACAAACATATTATCAAACAGTTTAATCTGTAATTTATATAAATAAGATTACCTAGACAAAAAATAAAATAGATCTTCACACTAAACATCTGATTCATTAGAAAAAACATCCAAAGACTTAGTTACAGGCTAAAACACTATCTTATTTAAAGAGCATTGAATAGTAAATCAATTTGTATCTATAGCCTTAAACCGAGACGATAAAATTTAGAATATGTTAAATCACTGGATGTTTTAGTTATGTTGTACAGTAAAATATTAGTATGAATCAGTGATACAAAATATCTGAAGGAAGTTAATGCAAAGGAATAAAATTATGATCTAATTATCAGTTAGATCATATCCAGTTAAGTTAACATAGCATTAACTTAATAAACTGGGTAAAACCAAATTTATGTACAATAATTTTTTGTATCCAATACATTCATGATCAAGAACTGGTAACATATGCATATCTCTTGCTTTTAAACGTTATGTCATATCGAAAAATTAATACAAAATATACTACGGCACATCGTTTAGTTGACAGATGGACATAATATCTAAGTCACAAGTTAACAAAAACCAAACCAAACAGGAATTTCACCAATCATCGATCTTCTAGCATTGATAGCAGTTATAAGTTAATATTACCGGCCAGCTCGACTAGTTCACTTCCTATGATCTAACCAGACATTGACGTTACTCTAAAGCAATATTTTATAATTAGATAAAAACAAATCGATTTGAAAGGTTCTAGCATTGTTATTTAAGGCATTTAGAGGAAACTAAATTTTATCAGAGTATTCAACAATAAAAAATAATATCATTCATTCAGTGTTTACCACTAAGTAAAATTACAGTTGCGAGATCCATTCATGAAAATCACATGAACGAAGTCCTAATACAAGGAACACATTTAATTAAAATGAAGGATAAAAGACATACTTGGTTTCATAATAAAAATTTATGCTCTAATAAAATAAATTTACAGTAAATACCAAAAACGACAAAGCATCACTAATGATTAGATTGAACGAAATAGAAAACAAAACAAAGAAACCTGTAAAACATCGAATCACAAAACGTTTTAATACTGATGATTGTCAGTTTAATAATCACCATTATTTAAATGAGAAAAAGCTACACTTAATTGATATGTTTTACTGATGTCATAATTTATCTTTTTCAAACTATCTTTCCTCATTGATTAGGACAAGTTTATCTAGTATTTGTTTTGCCAAAATCTATGTCAAAATTATCCAGTGGTATTAGCAGAAAACTTAATTCTATTCAAACCTAATAATGTCCATTAAAAAAAATATGCAGTAGGTCGTTAAATTCTGCGATCTATATTATTGTTAAAGGCAATAGGTAATATGAAACTATGTGACTAATTACTTTAAATATGAAACTAGATTACTGTTTAAAACTTGTGACTGCTGTTCGCTGGCTGAACAAACAGTTATTACACTACTGACATTCAAATTTGTTACTTCTAAAAAAAAATACATATATGGATTAGGCTATGGAATCTTGAGTGGTTGACTGCATGCTCTCATGTTGTAGTAAATAGTACAGAGAAGTTGAATACTAACTTACGAAGTAAGAGATGTTTACAGTGAATACGGAATAAATATTTCATGATACAATCTATCAATTTTTTGTACACTCAATCTAATGACTGAGTTAGTGTTTCATATACTTAGCAACTACTACAAGACAGAAAAGTATATAATGTTTGTAATATTGATCAGGTAGTCAGCATAATACATGTAGAAGCTGGTACAAATATGCATTAGGTCACACTATTTCAGCCCAGAGAGAAGATAATAAGGACGAATAGTTACATAGAAGTTGGACTAATGAAGATACCTATGATATTATGTCTACCTATAAAGAATATGTTTCGAACATAAGGAATGGTCTTCAACCATTGATGACAATTATCAAACAGACACTAAATAAATAAGTTTCGGATGAGTAATTATTTAATGTTCATCGAGAATCAACATGCACTCTTTTTTATTTCGACTGAAACTTATTTTGTTTATACTTGTGTTTTATTTTCACTTATAAAGCGAAGAACATTTCGGTATGACCAATGGATTGAAAAAAACACAATAAATTCTAGTCTAACAGATTAAATAAAAGAAAGAAAGTAAGGATTAAGTAGGAGGTTTTTTATGGTAAATCAATAAACAATAACAACGAAAAAATTTTATTTAAGGGAAAAAACCAACCTACCTGTGGTGATTGAGTCGACAGGTTTAATTTTGTTCCTGATAACATAGGAGGGGTAATTTTATAATTGTCTGCTTTCGTAGACAATTGAATATCACGACCAACTAGAATACGGAAGTAATTTGTATTGGCACGTAAAGCAGACACAGCTACATTATGTTCGACATTGATAAGACTAACACCATTAACCTAAAAAAAGGTAAGAAAAAACTCTATAGAACAGAAATAACCGAGGTTGTTGTATGTACGTAGAAAGTTTTACTGATAAGAAATAAAGACAAATAAAAACAGAACAGTACACTAACCTCTAATAGTTTATCGCCAAGTTTAAGTCCTGAAGTGGCAGCTAATCCAGTAGGATTTAATCGACTAACAAATATACCATGATCTAAACCACGAAATGGTATTGACCCAACTCCACCAGCCACGCTAAGACCTAAACCAGCATTAGGTTGTCGATGGATGTGTACTTCAACTTGTTCTTGTTGACAACCGACAACAGGTTGTCTATGTAACGATGATGGAGAATGCAAGTCACGACTTTGTAATGGGATATCAGGAGGACTTAATCCACCAAATGGGGAGGCAAATCGTTTTACAGCTCCGTCAAACTAAGTAGAAAAATTAGAAAAGACAAGTTCTAAATATTATGTGAAACTATAAATCGTAAGAAGGCCCTCAAATGTTTTAGTTTTGTCATTAAGTGTTAGTTCCTTCTTGCAACGATAACCACGAGTGTAATTCTCTTAATTGGTATTTCTGCATGACCACTATCTTCTGATTGATTGTTACAACTGTTAGTTTGCTAGTCACGTCAGACTCTGTATGCAGTTATTCCACATTGATTAGTCATGGAAAATACTAAATTTTTCTCCACACTTCAACTTATCTTTAGAGTTCACATCGTTGTAGATTATTATTGCAGATCTGTGTGTGTCAGTTACCGCTTTTTCAACTTTACAATAGAATCCGTTAGTGTTAGAATTATTCCAATCACCTTGGGATCAATCGAATCGAATCGCAAAATACATCAATAATACTACTGATGCGAAATATATGAAATGGCCAACAAATGCTTTGATAAGGCCGAGGGTGGTTGAAGCCTGCTTTCCCTCTTGAAATGCTTTCATCTGATCACGCATATATAGCCTTTGCCAGAGCAGTCTTACTCACTCTCCTCGTGGCGGAGTTGTTGCTTACGACATTGAGGACGGATAGCGAATGCTGGATAGTTAAACCGGGTTAATCTTTAGGGAGGATTTAACGAGAGGAGTTGGAAGTCCCTGACTCTAAATCAGTGGGTTTACATAGGGGGAAGGGTGTTGAGGGAAAAGGCAATATATGAGCCTATTGTTGGTCACCAGCTACCATGGGATTGGATCTCCCAGCGTTTTGCTGTCTTATGGATTAGACTTCTCGGTCAAAGGTTGTTTCAGTTTCAACAATTAGACAGTATCCTACCCCACATAAATTGAATGATAACTGCTTCATGAGGTGCATATGCATTTCGATTCCCCTTTGTACCAATTTTATGTGTTTCTATCGATCAACTGATAACTTAATCGTCGGTTATAACTATCCTTCGATATTTTTGTTAGATATATATGTACAGTTAGTAAAGAACGAAATCCGTTAAAATCAGTTTTTAAATAATGTAATGAATAACTATCGATTAAACACATTTAGTTTCATAAGTATTGACTAACATTCACTTTTAATGTTATTTTTATTATGCGTTTTCAGTGTTAAACAAATAGCTAAGTTTCTTGTGGTATAACAGTTAGTGACTGACGATTTAGTTGTTTCCTAATCATTACTTTTCTACATCTAATCACTATTGTTGTTTGATGTAAATCCAAAAGTTAAAAGATTTAGAGGAAAATCTAACATTCACAGTTACACAATAATAACCTGCAGGTAGTTGACTTGCTGTTATGCGTGAATTTTTATTCAACTAAAAAGAATATTTAGTATATTTTAGCTATAAACCTTACAGTTGTTAACCGATATTCTCTCTCTCTATGAACATATATAAAGTAATCGCTGAGACAATTTATGAAAGACATTCGAGCGATGCTAACGTGGCCTTGAGACAACTTGCCTACTTTAAAGGGTCAAAAGAGGGTTATAAATTAGGATTAGGATTTAGTTAGAATTTAGAGATAGGAATTAAAGTAATAGCTTTCATCACGAACTGACATATGCCAAAACCAAAGACTTACTATTTTTAATTTCTTTGGTTGGTTCACCCATAAAAATTATAGTCTCGCCAAGTAATCAAAACTCAACTACTACTTATTTTGTAACACACAAAATCAAAATCACTGTTCTAGTAAAACAACTATGTAAGAAGTTCAATTAGTTCACGAAAACAACGAAATTCAAAACATATCGAATATTTATTCACTTAAAAGGCTACCAAAAGTAGTATATACATGTGACTTATTGGAATTTCAGTTGAAAAATATAAAAAAAAAAAACAACATTTCTATGACGCATTATATGCATAAATTTGTAAGAAAAACAAAAGCATAAAATCAATATTTAGAAAAATTAATGTAGAATTAGTATCAACCTTTCTTATATTAACTAGGATAACAAAAAGCAAACAAATGTAATAATGATAATGACTTACATCAGTTGAATTTGAATCAGGATTCGGTGAAACAGATGCTCGATACTTTTCTAATATTTTCAATACTGCTTCTTCACTATCCACTTGACGATTTAAAAATGAACACAAAGGCAAATACAATAGGATGAGGATGAGAAATGTAGGAGAGAGAGAGAGGGGAATAAATGAACACAAAAATGGACTGAAGAATCATGTAATACTTAATTTGAATTGTGTTATGAAGTAGAGTTACTAATTATAATATTCACGGTCATATATTTATTCAACTACATCCTCTTTCTCTACGTTGAAATATCAATATACGCATAAAAGCAAAAAGATATGGGAGTATAAACAATATTTCTCACATTGTATTTTTCAAGGAATAGGTTAATAAAACTAATAATTAAAAAGATAGACGTATTTTTTCAATGATTATTTATTTATGAATGGACTCTAGCGAATAAAATAACTTCTCTAATTACTGTTTGCTTAGGTGTTGAATACTGATGTGGTAGAAAAGAGATTAAAGGTAATCAAACGAAGAAATAAGATCAGTAGATAAGTCTCAATAACTAGTTTCAGTCGAGGTATACTTCAATCATTTCAGTTCAGTCAGACACACACTGTTGAATGTTTTTGCGTATACGTATGGAGCAATAACATACTAAGTCTTAAAACTTTACTTTCGTAGTTGTTTGCACAAGCCACTAAAATCAGTTAGAAAAAACTAATCATTTTCTTGTAAACTAATATTTTGAGCCAACAAACTAATAAAGTGCATACAAAGGTACCTAAAGAACTGCTCATTGCTCGAGGAGTAACTAAAAGGGTAATCCTGATGATAGGTGTAAAGTACTGATTAAATATGTGAAAGCATATGTTGTGATTGAATACCATTACAGACAAAGTTAAAGTAGTTGCAGTTCATCGCTAATTACTGTTTGCTTAGGTATCCATTAATGATGAGATAGAAAAGAGGTCAGTCAGTCAGTAACAACGTAGAACTTCGTACGTACGTACATCAGTTCGAGTTGCCACACCACCTTAACACAGAGATGCAGTTGTCGATCCAAATCCCGTAGTGGTAGAGGTAGCAAGAGTGTAAGCAGTGATCGGGAAGATTAGTGTTTGGAGATGTTATTTAAAGAGTATAATTCAGTGAAATAAATTTGGAAAGAGGAAAAAAGGGACATGAAGAATTCAGAAGATTAGAATTTGGGAGAACATAGAGAGTGGATGCACCTGCGCCATTGCAAACGATTTTGAGCCATGTCATTCAGGGTCTCTAACCATCGGTTGCTATCAACTCGCGGTCCCAAACCAGGTAGTTTACACCTACCAACATGACTCAGTCCACTTGTCAGTGACTTCATGGATTTGTGCCATGTTTTGGTCTGGCCGCCCATAGCATTCTTCCAATCTACTCCTATACCACTGAACATCGCACGTCGAGGCAGTCGGTCGTTGGGCATACGTAACACGTGTCCCAGCCATCTCAACTGATGAAGTTTCACTACTTCATCAATTGATTTTCCATCCTTACCTAGTACCCGTTTCCTAACAGCTGCGTTACTTACTCGGTGGTCCCAGGATATACGAGCAGTGTTCCGAAGACACCTATGATCAAATACTAGTAACCTACGAATATCCTCTACTCTTACCGGCCATGTTTCACTGCCATAAAGCAGGACGGAACGAACTGCTGCTCAGTAAACATGTCCTTTGGTTGATAGACGGATATCTCGCCTACGCCATAAATGACGCAAGTTGGTAAAAGCTAGTCGAGCCTTCTGTATCCGTGCTGAGATTTCGTCATAGACCAAACCACAAGGGCTGATGAGACTTCCAAGATAAGTGAAGCGGTCGACACACTCAACTACTTCACTCCCTATCACTAGTTCGGGTGTCGATGTAACCCAATCCTGAAGCAACATTTTGCATTTCGAGGGAAAGAATCGCATTCCGAACATGCTTTCATTGTTGCTTAGAGTGGTCAGAAGACTCTGCATTTTGTCAGCGTCTTCACCAAATAAAACTATGTCATCTGCATATTCTAAGTCAACAAGTGAACCTCCCGGTAGAAGTTCAACCCCCGGAAATTTAGATGAGGAGAGTGTTATCTCTAAAAGTACGTCGACCACAAGAATGGGGAGAGTGGGCAGCCCTGACGAACACTACTTGAGGTAATCAATTCTGATGACAGTTCGCCATAAGCTCTGTCGTTTGATTACCTTTGACCTCCCTCAGAAAAGAGGTCAAATGTAATCAAACGAAGAAATGAGATCAGTAGATAGGTTTCAATAACTGTGTGGCTGTGAAGTGAGTCCATATATAAACTTCACAGAACAGAACCTTATATTTTAATAAACAACACGGAACTTATATTTAGCGTTTATAGCGTATCATCCTTAATCAGGTCCTGAATTAGTACAATTTAATGTAACTTATTAAGTCTACAAGCTGTGAGCATAAATATGTTCATACACAGTCAAAAAATAACCTTCTAATGAAAAAAAAATGAAACAAAGAAACATTATCTCTGCATAATGAGAGTTAAATAATTCATTATAAAAACTTAATGTCTTTCATTACATCATCATCAAATAATCTCAATTCATTTCCTGTATTTGATTAACTAAATTGGAATGGACGTTCAATAGGAAGTAAAATTTATAATTGCACTTACTCCCATCAGCTGTTTTTGACTGAATTCGAGCGCGTTTTGTATAATGTGGTGTATCACGTCGAATAAGTTTTTGACTTGATTTCTCTTCATTATCTTCCACATCATCTGTGAATCCAACTCGTCTAGAAATGACGTAAATCTCTTCCTACAATATGTAAAATAGTAAATATTAGTAACAGTAAAAAACATAGTCAATTTTTACTACTACTCCATTAAAATAGATGGGTGTAACAGTTAAAAATTGATTACTTAATAGATTGTTCGAAATGTATTGCGCAAATCTATCACATAATTATGATAAACTTCATCTTCTTATTGCATTATCGAAATTTATCAAAGGGAATAATTGTTTTAAAGATAAAAAAAATGTTGTTAGATCACTGAGTCAAAGCTGTACTGAAATGTCAAGAACAGTGGACAAGTTGCTTTTTATATTAAAGAAATGGATACTTATGGAGTGAGAAAATCTATTATATTGGAGTTAACAAATAATTACAGACAGGCTCTTTAAAAAGATTGAATACGAAAGTTCATAAACATTTACAGTTGGCATCAAAACTTGAAAGTCAGCGCTATAAAGAAATGACATTGGTTGAAGAAGCATCTGAAAACGAGAGCATGGAAACAACTGTTTTATTTTAACTTGAAGCTTATTAGTGCATAACATACCTACAACTGCGGTTTATAATGAAAACTAAAATCAAACTATACGAAATCTCCACAAATCATTCAAACAAAATAATTTCATATTCTTAAGTATCATATAGTTTTTAACATTTTGTTTACAACGCTTACAGAATACAAATCTGTTTTTACAGTAAAAAGTCTAATTGATATCCGATGAAATTATAATTTGACAGACTGATGAAACACTGTAATCTTAACAAACGACAATAAACTGACTGGTTTCGAGAAGAGTTGTGAATTAGATTTTAAGTAATTGAATAAATAGATTCAAATGTTAAGTTGATATTAGAACTATTAATTAACGAACTAAATGAACAACAATTACGTCAATCATTGTTTTGTTACATCTATGAATCTGGTGACTGGGAACAAATTACAAACAGAAGAATAACAGAGAAGAACCATTTCGAAAGAAACTTAAAAAGTAGTTTGAATAAACGAAGATTAAAATTTTAGAATGTTGATTGGTTATGGGTATATGTCTTACTTCATTAGCAAAACTAGTGAATACATATACATCAATATGTTTAAATTAAGTTTTATTCTGTGAGAAATAGGGTCGAATTTTAAATCATAAGTCAAATGCAACATTTTTTTCATGTGGTTAACATGAAGCATTGAAGTAAAAAAGCATCCAAACAATAGAAGACAAAAGTTATGCCATGAGAATCGATAATAAGAATACTAGAAGATTGGGGTATGCTAACTGATAATTTTTTTATACAATCAATTGGTTATTTTCAATTAAATATCGTAAAATACAATTACTCACTGGCCAACTAAATAATTACAGGTTTTAGAGAATTAAAACTACCATATACCGACATACAAAATATTTACACAAAATAGAGTGACTTAGAACAAAGCAATTAATGGTCTTATATTAAGTGCGGCTCATCATTACAAGCACTTGTATTTAAACGTATATTAATGGTAATATGATAACCTAATATGTTCCGTTATTGCTAGATATAAGTTCACTTTAAATATGAGTAATGTAGTAGCTTGAAATCAGTCAACTTAAAGTAATATCATAAATTATAACCGATTAAATATTAAATCAAATGTACATGTAGAAGCAACAATGAGTCACGTCTGAACTTGAATACATGTCTTTTTTTTTCTTTCTTGAAATAACAACAATAAATTTACAGAACTAATTATGATACAGTGTTGGATAAATAATGACTGATGTGGACAAATGTTTATTGATATTAGTAAAATGAGGTCATTCACACAAAATATTTGTCACTTACTTGTAGTAAATTCATAAACCATACGTCGTAACACGGTTTGCGTATGGTAGTTTAAAAACGATTTTAAGTTAACACAAATCTGTAAGTATTCGTTTTTATTGAGATTTTGTTTTTCGAAAATATGTAATAAAACCTTTTTTTTCTCGTTAGCTAACAATTTGAACAGCAGCTTTGAAACTTACTGACTTACTACTTGCAGCTAAGGTTATTGGAAGATAAAGAAAGAATGCAACAACATCAAGGAAGTTGATTTCGTACCATATAAATAATATCAACCAACATATGCATCTATAGATTACAGATATAAGACAGGCCTCAATCAAGAAGTTTTAACTTTCTCCACATGGTTCAGATCAAAAGTTCATGTTTTCAGGGGGTTGATGGAATATCACTTTTGCTAACTCTCACTAAATTCTTTTCAACCTAATTCTATGACAACAAGGATTACGTGACAAGGTTATTGGAGGCTAAGCATGTGTAACACACCTCTGAACTATCTTGGTCAACTATCTACAACCTCATCGATAGATTCATTATTTACCAGATTCGTTGCTTACAATGTCTGCATTATCCACTTATTAGTCCAACCATACACGAACAAATGAGTAGAAATAAACAATAAGGAATATAAACCTTAATATCAGCTACGACTTAAAAAGTCTAAAAATATTTCTTAAAGATAAAGCTCAATCCATCTGGTTAAGAAAGATGGAAATTTTATAACATCGCTCATAGATGCAACTAATTCTAGTTTTTAGCATGAAGGTTATGAGAATTATAGAATTTTAGGAACTTACGAACTGATGTAAGATAGACAACCATTAGAAATCTGGAAGCACTAAACAGCTTCCTCACTCCAGTATGGGATTCCTCAAAGGTTAAGTGTTCACGCAAAACCGAACGTCCTGGGTTCGAGTCTTGCGTGCGGAATCGTGCATGTGCACTGATGGGCAGTCTCATACTAAAATGAAAAGGTCGTCCAGTGCTTCCAGAGTTTTCGAAAGTGGTCTAACATTGATCGGTTCATGATCTGAATTAGCACTTCAAAATATTAAATTACGTTTATTTCTCATATCAACATTTTTCATGTGAACTATTTATCCATTCATATACGGACAATATCTAGAATAATTATGTCCATCATTTTGACTATTCAGTTCGCGTCATGTAACTACAAAGTTGGCAATGTCGTTTAGATGTGCCTAATAACAATGAAGGCATCAATGCAAATTTGTATAAATTCAATGTTACTCATGTCAGTTTTCTTTTTTCTAAAAACAGACTATAATTATATCGGAAATTTTATCTCATATCATGGTACTGAACTGATGATCAGTGAAAATGATCAAATTATCTCTGATAATAAGCTTTCTTTAATCTATATATTCAACTGAATGTTATTATTATTAGTGGTAGTAGTAGTAGTACCACTACTACGACCACTATGAGCATTGGTTATACACAATTTTCAGTTCTTTTTCACTGAATACATTATTTCAATCCAATGGTCGGCTAAGCCGATACAAACTGGTTAGAGACAGCGGTAGACAGAAAGACAGACATACATTATCCTATTCTAAGTTTAGAATTAGGGTTAATGATTTGGAAAACAATATACATAGCAATTGTTGTCGTTATACACGCTCTGACATATTTAATGAGAAAACATTAAAATTGATGTAACACGGGAAAGCATAAAAAATTTTGTTAGCACTTGGAATAGCTTTAAATTTTTGGAGAAAAAAGTTTCACTACTAATATTAAAACTGATAACTATTAAAAATAGCAATATGTAACATATGCACTAATTAATTAATGGTTGATATAGATAAGGTGTATTTTTAAACATGAAATCAGTACCAAACTCAATCAACAACAACAAAAATATTTAAGAGAAGGACAAACTAAGTTAACCTGAAAAGGTATTCAGAAGGAAAAATTCAGAAATATTATAAATGAAGAGCGTTTTGTAGGTTTCACTGAAACACAATCAACACACTTGAATCTACTAGTAATGACAAAATCTCTACCACTACTATGATTGGTGGTTTAGGTTTAAATACAGTACGAGCTAGTGAATTCAAATTCATTCATATGGGTGAAAAAGACAAATAGGTATATTGCTTATTGATTTTTCTAGGCAGAAATATAAATTGGAACTTTTTAAAAGTAATTCTATTATGAATGATAACGTTTAAACAATATGTAAATTTCTCAATCGTACCAAATGTTTATGAAAAATCGAACAAATATTTATAATAAATCAACACTTACACCTCCACTACTATAGGCATCCTCATCAAGATTCCCTTGTACGTCCAAAGTATCGGGAAATTTTTTAACCGGAGATCCACGATTGGAATGAGCATCTGAAGTATCTTCTACAGAGGCCATCCTAATTACGGTATCGCTAGGAATTTTAAGTTTACTTATTTCTGTAGATTTTGACGCTGGGTGTTCATTGAAAAAATTAGAAGATTGAGGAGGTTTATTATCAAACATTTCTGTAACGTTTTGAGATTTATTGCGTGGTCTAGATAAAGGAAATATTATCGATGAGCAAAGGAAAGTTATAAAAATAAAAATGAACATAAGCAGGAAGTATGTAGTACGTCACACAATGAATTGACACACATACAAGGGTAGAGTATTTAATCTTAAGTTATAATCATTTGACTGTCTAAACACTGCATAAATAGAGAGCTTAGAAAATGACTTTACTATGTCAGACGATCGAAAGTTTTGTCACAGTTTATACGCTAAAAATTTGGAGAAGTGTGATACAAGTGAATACTAAAATTAAAAAGATTCGATAACTTCTGATAGTAAGGTTTTTTGCACACTTTTTTAATGTTGATAAGAATTTACTCAAAATAAATACATTAGTCACAACTTTTCAACTGTGAATCGCTATTTTATTTACATTTTATTCTTTAACGACAAACTGCCCCCAAATGCCCTGGTACGGCCGAGAGTGGGGAGAGTCCGCTCTCCCTCTCGAAATACTCTCACACGGCCACGCGTATATAGCCTCTGCCAGGGAAGTCCTACTCACTGCCTTCTCGTGGCGGGGGTGTTGTTTACGGAAATCAGAGGACGAAAAGCGAATGTCCGGCACTTTAACCGGATTCCAAACCAATGGCGCACATGGGCTCCAGTATCCTGCGGGAACAAATGGCGAATGAACCAATTGTTAGTCACCGGCTTTCATGGGACTGCATCTCCTTACGATGCTCCACTGCCTTGTGGATCAGACCTTCAGGTCGAAGGCTCGGGGTGTGGCCCCCTAAGAAAACCACCTGCTTCGGTTTGGGCACCCGGGCAGTACCACAGCCCTCACACATATCGAATGAGATTTGTGTGGCGCATATGTATTTGGTGCCTCTTTGTACCATTATCTATGTGTTGAAATAAAAATAATAATAAAAAATAACCTAGGTGTAGACAATCTGGCTGGGGTTTGCACAAATTCCGTAACCAATAGTTAGAAACTGGGTGACATGACTCAAAATTGTTTGGAATGGTGTACGTGAATTTACTATTGGCCTTACTTTAGATTTTAAGTTTAAAATTATCATACAAGGAGACATGTACAGTTGATCTTCGACAGAAAGACGTAAACATTACATAAGCGTAAACTCTTGCTTCTGCTTTGCTTTCTTCTATACCATACTAAAGCCTTAAGAAAAACCCTGGTTTTAAAACTGGCAGTTTGAACTACTACCATAGATAGGAAATATTTGTAAGAAAAATTGAAAATATTGTTGTAGTTAGTACATCAAATGGGATGAATAAAAAATAATGGTAACTAACTTGGCAGTCGGTTCGGTGGAGATAAGATTATCGTTAGTCACCACAGAACTCCCATCATTCGATTTCATTAGATGATTTGGATAAATGGAAGAGTTAAAATTAGAATCAATAGGTTTTGGAGACTTCCAATCATGATTTAATGATTCCGACATTGAGATTGGAGCAATTCCATCATTTAGAGATTCTGATGAACTAGCAGAACTGGTGCCATCAGAAAATGTATTTGAAGATAAATTAGCCTTAAACATGAAAATAAAGGGAGAAAATATTAGATCACGATATGGGACAATGATTTAAAAAACCTTCACAAATGTGACTTACTAACTAAGTACGAGTTCGTGTAAGTACAATTTTATGATAATCAGTGAAAATGCAATGACTAGTTCAATGTTTAAAAGTATGAGGTCAAAGAAAAGCAGTCGGCTGTTTTTTTTCGATATCAACTAAAAAAAATGGTGAAAGCTAACTATTGTTGATAGATTCCTATTTTAGGAATATTACACAATGATAAGAAATGTAACCATGAATTGTCCGAGATCATAGACACTGATCTGACCAATTTAACCTATTATCTAAATGATTATTAACTAATTAATGTGGTTGTGGAGTAACAAAGAATGTAAAAAAAAATACTAAATAACCTATTGAAGCCATGAAAATCCGAAAATACTGGTGTTAATCAGTAAATAAGGAGACTATAAAGCTTTAAAAAAAAATCAGATTAGATAGAAGAATAAGATCGAAATGGTTAATAATCATTTTCAAGAATCACACTATCTCTGATATTATCTGTAGTGTGAAACTAGTCAAGTTATTTAGAAAACTTGTAATAAATCAAGATGTAGACATAACTAGCGATAACAGATTTCTTAAGTATGCTGTGGGTTCTGATAACACGATTTGCATTCTTTTTTAGTACAAGAAACGATCACATCTCAAAGAATATAATGACTAATTTCACTCGCCGAGTACAAGTTTATGTGTTTGGTTCAGTCACACTTTGAGTGTGACGTTTAGTAATACTATCACGTTGCCCAAACTAAACTAGGTAGAGCAAAACTCGGACCTATGAATGAGTTGTTGAAAGTCAAATGTCGAAACAAATAAGTCATCGTCCCATAAAGAATAAAATGAATACTAATAAGATTAAGATTTTGGATAGTTATCGATTTAAGGAATTAAGAATCAAGTTAGTTGACTACATTCTCTTATTCTGTTGCTAAATCAAAAATCTCCTTGTTTTAATTATGAACTAAGACAAACAATCAAAACAAGTAAAACCTTTACAATCATCTTAATGCATATCATTCAATCTTACAAAACTGCACTATTGTATATGAAGTTAACTGTTAAGAGAGACATTATACTACTGTTCACCATTCAAATATTCAATAAGTGAATTTGTGATTACCTTATTTTTCACCTGTTTTTTTATAGTATGCTAACGAATGTAGAAACAGATAGAGAATAGAAGAGTGCATACACATAAAAATTAGTGTTAAACACAAACTCTAGTTTCAAAACCGTTTATGCAAATAAATAATTGATTTTAGGATCATGTATGAAGTAAATGTTTAGCGCAACATGCATATCACATGTTTCAAGTTCAAAATACCTTCAGAGATAATGAAAACACGGCATAGTCAATGAATGCTTGCATATATTACAAGAACAAAAACAGAGTCAGTTTGATATCATTCGCTCGATATCTCATTTAATTGTACAATCATAGTCAACAGATTCTTTCTATCCACTACTGCTAAACGAGAAAAATGTTCTGACTGTATTGAAAGTGTTCAGTAATGATGATAAAATTCTCATACTATATTTAGCATTTAATTACGGTCATTGGATAATCATGAGCAAACACTGAGTTCAACTACTCAAGGTTAGAATGAAACTTCAAGTCGATAAAGAAATGATAAATGTTTCATTATCAACAAGGTTATCCTTTGCAATTATATGATAATAACACTGAACATACTATGAAGTAATGAACTGGCTAGAAACAATCTAGACAGACAGTAAAAAAAAATTGCCAATTGTCATTATTTATTGTAGTCCGATTTACTTGAAGTTTATATCAACAATACGGTGACAGATTTTTAGATCTTATAAAAATCCTAATATTTTATTGGTATAAATGTTTGAAAACACTAGGTGATTCTGTGTCAAGCTAGTATTCAGCAACAATTGATATCTACATAACAGTGAAATTGAATAAAAAGTCATCTGCATTCATCAAGAATAAATTCTACTAATTCACGTATACTTGATAGTAAAAGAATGACAGATAGTGAGGTTCTAATTGATACTTCGTCCTCAACAGTATGAAATGATAAATATTTTCGGGTTTTTATTCACTAAATTTTATCATTCCAATGAAATATACTCATTTTATTTAGAATGAATTAGATGTAACATATTTTCCATTCAAGTAGATACTTGAATCAAATAAAATCGACGATTATTTTAATGATATAATAACAGTGAGAAGAAACAAAGTAGTAAGAACTATCCAAAAATATTACATATTTTAATGCTATTTATACCATTTTCAAAACTAACCGAAAATAACATACAGTAGTAGGCATAATTAACTAATCTACATACATGAACAACACTTTTTGTAAGACGAATAGTTTCTTTTACGGTAATCTTTGCTCTCCTAAAGAACTGTATGAAAATTTAAATAATTAACAAAAGAAACTTACACTTCTGGATTGAGTGGAATCATCTTTACCACTAATAAGATGATTATCCATAGCTTTTTTACCGGAACGGGGATGACGTGTTTTTGGAAAACCTTTGGAACCTGATTTATCCTGTTGATAATAATAATAAATGGAGCAATAAAAATATGTAAATGAATGAAGCAAATTCAATAAAAACAGATTCCAAGTATTAACTAAACCGTGAACAAAGAGAAAAATATTTCCCACAGTAAGTTTGGATTGGTGCTTAGGATTTAGATATGGATGTAAGTGAACAATATTACCATAAACACAAGGTTGGACGTTGAGTAAACTAAAGAGACATAACTATATCATTACTGAAGATGCAGTTTTTTGTGACACGGTAAGAAAAACAGTAATACAAAATTGTTTGAAGTTGAACTGTTGTTTCGTAGAAAAAAGATTTTCGTTCTTAAAAACTTATGGATTCTTCTAACAGTGAAAAGACAAAGTTATCACAATATTCAGAAAAATTTGCACATTTAAAATGTGTATTATTGAATTAACAAGAAAGGTAGTAAGGATAAATAGAATATATTTGTAGATGAACATGACTGGAGATAACGTTGATATACAGGAGGAAACTATACTACAATATTATATCTGGAAAGATAACTACTACGCTATATTTTATTTACATGGACTATGTTTGATTGGTCCAGAGTAGAGAGCGCTAGGTAGAGTATACACTCAATCCAACAAACCTAAATATACATATACTTGCCAGCTTGTATGTAGATAAAATACACAATCATTCTTCAACTCAATAGAAGCTTTTAAGAATGAAAACAGGTAGTTATCAACTGGTTTAATTGAACTAAGATCTAGTTATCAGTTGATAATTGTAAAACGAATTAATGAACACTGCGAAGTAAATTGACTTCTTCAGATTCTTTCGCATACTAGTAGCGGTTATCAGTAGACATTTGTCTTGAAGCAATTCAATACTTTTCTCACGATCCAAAGGCACTTCAATAGATACTAAGCATCAAGAGGAAAGAATAAGTCTATGGTTTATTGTTTTCCGAGACAAAAAGCTACTTACCGTTATGAATAATGGAGTGAAAAGTTATGTAAATATAATGCTTTACACAATCATAACACAAGTACACATATAGAGTAGATAAATGAGTAGACAAACGTGTATACACAGAGAGGATACACAAAATATATTTATCATGAAATAATGAAAGTAATTCAAGAGATCATATGAAAGAGTAGAATTAATAATAAAGAACAATATTAATATATTACCATCTCATCAGGTTTAACTGAACCAGAGAAATGAACACGACTTGATGCAGATGTTTGCATAGATAGAGATGAATGTGCAGATGAGGTAGAAAGATCATTTATATGATTTGGTGATGTATAGGATGAATCTAAATTACCATTTACATTTGACGGTGAATTAATAGATGAATTTGAATATGGTAAATTTTTTGTAGGATTAGTTGTGGAATTAATTGAATTATGATTGTTTAATGAATTAGGATCATTTGTTATTGCTGAATTATCATTCAGTGTTGATGATGGTGAAGTCGATGGCTTAGTCGATTCATGTTTCGATGGTGAAATACTTCGATTTTTTGAAAGATCTGATTGAGGAATTGATATATGCATATCTGCAGGCTCATAGGTATGATTTATTTCAGTACTGATATTGTCAAGTAAATCATGGTTTGTTTTAATGTTAGCGTTTAATGAAGCAGAAAAGCTATCTAATTCAGATGGTGACATAGTTGGATCTATAAGAGAACACAAAAGAAAACGGAGGAAAATTGGGAATTGAAATTCTTACGAAAAAACTCAAATATTTAGTGATATAAATGACTGAAATGTCATAACATAAAATTAATGAATATAAAAATTTAGAAATTATAGTAAGCAATGACCTCAGAACAACAACTAACAATAAAGATGGGGCTGTTAAACGTTTCAGATTTTGTGAACATTAAGCATAGCTTTCTAGCATTTGGGTAAGGGATACGTTTACAATATTTTACTCAACACTGATTTAAGGTGGTGGTGATGTGAGAGACCTTATCATAGTGTTCAAAAATCCGATAAGATGGGAAAAAACTAAATGTACTTCCTTGAGTACAGTCGATTTCGAGGTACACTTCTAAATGCTTACAATCACAGTTTAAAGTAGTATATGAAATTCAACCAGGAAATACGTGTCTACTTTCAATATTTAAACTACTGCTGGCATATCTTGTATTTAGTCTTTGTCAGTTATTCATATATTGTATTTGTTTTTACTATCAGCTTATCATGTTAGAAAATATTCTCAGACGAGTGAGAGATATCACGACTAAATGGTTTATGTCTAGAAACTCAAATTTTGCACCGAGTCCTGAACAGCTGGAAATTTTTACATAGATAAACAGTATTAGTGATATATTTAAAGAGATTGGATTTACGCAGTACAACTAATCGCGAAGATCACGACAGGTCATCTAACTTTTATCATTATTATTAAGGATTAAAGTCAGAAGATAGCTTAAATTAAAACTTAATTAAATTTATCAAACATTAGATTTTTAGATTTTATATCGATAAATCGTTACACTTTCGGCAAACTGTACCATTGTGTTAAACCCTATTGCTATTACTACGACTAAATATGAAGAAATAATTATTGATTCCCATTATTACCTTTCGTAGAGAGTACGATCGATCTAGCGTACTTCATCATAGAAAAGAAATCCTCAAAATTGAGCAAAAACAATTTGGGATGAATAAAGCGAAATACTTTAAATAATGAGATGTTGTTAAAGTGTTATTTATGAATGATAAAAATATTAATTTGTGAAACACGCAGATTATAAAGAGTACTTTGAAAAACATCATTCGGACCATAATGTTACCTAATACAAGAACCATATTGGTAAAGATATTTCACTATGAATATCTTATGAATTAAAATCAAGACTAAGAGTAGGTAGAAAGACAGTTTGACATGTATTGCAGTTTTACAGCTGCTAAGATTGTAGTTGAAGAATGAGCAACCAAAACAAAATTACCCACTAATATTCATAATTGTGGAAAGTAGTAAACAGTTGGAATGAAATACTTATTTTCAAAGATGGAGAATAAATGGATTCATAATCTACACTATCTTAAATAACACACTGTCGGACATCAACATTACATACCCTGCGTCATCGAAAGCAAAATCAAACAAGAACAACAAAATGATCTAGTCTACATTCACAAATCTAACTGCCTATCCGAAAACACCAGAAAAACCTAATCTCATTAAAAATGTTTAACGTGATTGGTAAAATGAACAGTTGAATTAACCAATCTTCTCGAGTCATCTCATGTAATGAATGCAAACCACAAAGTCGAAAAAAACACCAGCATGCATTAATATAGTAACAAGAAAGTATGCAAGAGTTGCGTTTAATAAGGCATACCAGAGCCCTATTTTCCTAGCAAGCTCTACATCTAGCACTGGATCACAAGAATAACTATTCTTTTTTACTTGTCACAATGTAAGACCGTAAACAAGATGTGACTCACTAAATCTATTATCATCAATTGTAAGGCGGTTGGAGGTGGTCTATAGGAAACACTGGATCTAGATTTCATACAAAACCCCAGTCACTAACATGGAGTACTTGGAATCAACCGTGTGGGACTGGTGCTATGCAGAATTTGAATTCGTATCATACAGAGAAATAATCTGAAATACTACCACTGAGCTATTAGGATAGTGACTGGTCTCTTGGAGAACTGAGATATTTACAACTGACTTGTCAGTCAGTCAATAACAACGTAGAACTTTGTACGTACGTACATCATTTCGAGTTGCCACACCACCTTAACACAGAGATGCAGTTGTCGATTCAAATCCCATTGTGGTAGAGGTAGAGGTGACTTGTTAATGGCCCTGTAACCAATCAACTGTAAATTACCATTAATTTTTTAGACTTACTGTTGATCCATACATTTTCGAAGATGTGTAACAAATTTCTTTATTTATCCTACAATCCTAAACACAACACACATACATTCAGTAATCCTCCTAACAAACTAAAATAACCACCAATTTTGTGATCCTCGAATTTATACGCTTAAAAATAATTTCTATTAACGGTAAGTCCTAAAATGAGATTAAATATATATGGGTATATGCATATATCTTACATTTTCGAAGTGTCTAGAAGCATTAATTGATTGCGCAACTCAAAAATACCTGGGGGAAAAACATACCTAGAAAATTAATGACCAAAAGTCATCTAGTAACCAAACAAACTGTCCCTACTATAATCTATAGTTTTTGTATAAAATATTAGCGGTATGCAAGTGAGAACCAATTATTTGCATATATAAATAGGAGTAGCATCTCATAACCAATATTACGTATCTACCAATCAAAAATGAAACACAACTATAAATTAAAGCATGAGAAAGTAGAGCAACTACTGACAATTGTTTTGTTGAAGATTAAGTTGATCCAAGGATAGGGATTTTCACCATACATTAAACTTGAAACACATTTTTAATGAAAACTACTTTCGAATTACAAGCAGCTAGTAATCACTAACTAGTACGGCAGTTCATTGTTTTTTTCATAATGCAATGTCATCGACTATAAAGCTATTGAAAATCACAATGCTAGAGATAACTATATATCGTTTTCATTTAGGATTTTAGTAATGTGTATTAGAGACTCTGTACCTTAAATGTCGGTTACAAATAAAATTCCCTTTGAATAATACAAAACTTTGACAAAAGCACCAACGTTTATAGCAGCTCACGTACATTTGAGTTTGTTCACATTTAATTTGGTTAAGCCCTGTTGTCAACTTATTTAACGAACAGAGTCGTTCGTACAATAACAACTTATCCATACCATTGTACCATGAATATCTTTGCGCTTGTATGAATATGTATGATTGAGCATTGCTTACCGCCTGTGCGCATATTCATCCTGTTAACTTTAGTGTTAGTAGCTTAAATGATTCGATGGTTCATTCTTTTCCCTATGTACATATATGCACATTTTAATCTTATTCATTTTGATTCCCACACTCTCTCATTTGCTTGCTTTTCGGCATTAGCTTTTCATTCTTGTTTTGCGTGTCTGTGGATTTAGTGATCTGTGCGTCGTGCAGTAATAAACGCGATCAACATTTCGTACTCATCTTCTGATCTATACACCAATGGGAGTGTTATCTGGTAACGGTTATCAGAACGAACAGCATACGAAGTTTAAGAATACTATGGAATGACGACCACGACAAGTTCATTTACAAGTGATATTACAATTCACTCAACTATTTTTGCCATATAACTTATGTTTAGTGCTGTCCTAACACCTTTCTTCGTTAAGTTGATACAAATTGATCTAGTAAGGACTGAGTGGAAAACTGTTCATCTACAGAGAAAGGTGTCGTGCTATTTAAGTGTATGTTCGCATATCTATTAATGAAGAGAGGAATTGATTGATAACCCAAAATGGAACAAATTTAATAAGCAATTCCATTACGCAAAGTGATAATAAAGGCTAAGTATCAGAAGGTAGTTCAGATGAAATGTAGACAGTGAAGTCTTTACGGACTCAGATATAAATTTATGATGAATGCACAAAATCGATAAAGTCTGATTGTAGGGTATTCGCCTCCAAATACATATCGTGATTTGTGATTTACTAAAAGGCTTATTCTAAGAAATCTATTCGCTACTTAAGTGCTTACTAAAACAGTAGTATATATGTATACCATAACTACGATAAGTGTAAACGGTAGTACAAATAAAGTTAAAACTATTTAAATGAATTCATGTTCAATAATATTAGAGTGTATCGATCACTGGGAGAATGAAGCCAAATGACATGGTATTGTAGTGTGCTACAAACAGTAAAACAAAATTCAAAAACATCTAATAAAAGGCATTGAAAAAGAAGCTTCACCTTACCAGTTTCAACACGTGAGTCTAGTTGATCCTGTGGTAGTAAATAACATGTGAGATACTGTTCTTGAGTAACAGGATCCACATCTCTTTGTAACGTAATAACTGGTTGAGATTGATTCTGTGAAAGCCATAAAGCTGTCAATGAGCATCTTGATAAACTAAACGGCAAACGATCAAGTCTAGAAAGTAATTTCAATAATATAACAATTACTTCAATAAATAAATATAACCATAAACTAAAAAGAAAGAATACTCTTTAAGATAGAAATCAAGCACAGTTAACATATGAATCGACCTTTACTGAATGTGATTTGGTATACATTTGCTGTGAATGTAAAAAGTGACTGAAGCATCGTCGTGTAAGGAAATGATTATGTTGAAAAATTAAATTCAGGGATGACAATTAAATGAGTACACAAATATAAATTAAAGAAAATGTTATGATAAGGAATAAGTGGTACCTTGAATCAGATTGCTCGTATTAGGTTATTTGTTCTATCTCATTCCGGTCCAATTAATATTAACGGAAACGAAGACTGTGATTACAGTCTATGGCCAATCAGTGGAATTACATGAAGTATATCGTTTAATGAATGTAGTTATAACCAGTCTAAATCTAACCATTTCATTATGAATAATAAATTTATTGCAGGCTTCTTTGTGGATTCATCTTAGAAACACAACTATATATATATATATATATATATATATATATATATATATATATATTCGTGGATTCATCCGAAAAGTTTCTATAAACGGGTGGATAAATATATAGTATATTAACCTTGAACGGATTTCATGTATTTTGAAATAAATTTTTGATTGTTACGCAACTGAATAGCAAAATTGTTAATTCAGCCAAATATCAAAAGCTTCTGCCGTGCACATGGACACGTATAAGCTTGTCAATGACAGGTGTACTTTGTTTTACCTCACTCTTTCTGAACAGTTAGCATATTCAAAGATATGACAATATTATCATTATAACAATCGTTGAAAAATACATACAAACCTACCTATTCCCAGAAACATCCAAAACTCGTAAACGTGTACAATTACCAATTTCATTAGGTAATCTATGCAAATTATTTTCTCGAAGAGACAAAATATTAAGTGATGCACATTGACCAATCTAATAAAATTTGAAGAAAAAAAAGAAGGTGAAGTAGAATTAAAATATATGGAACAAAGAAACAAAAGAGACGAACAAATCAATAAAAATCAAAAAACCAATGAATACACCATATAATAAACTTAACAAATCAGACAAGTTGAATAACTAAATCGTTTGTACTAGGCTAATATTAGTGAATATTAATTAACTCACTTACCGGTTACTTGAATATAAGCCACACTTTGTGTCAGGGATAATTATACTAGTTGGTTGTTCAAACTGACATAAGTGTAGAAGGGTTTGACCCTGGAGCTTGAGGGTTGAAAGTCAAATATCTTAACCACTAAGCCATTGCTATATATATAAATAAATAAAATGTATGCACAATAACATTCACATAAAAGATCCACACTTTATTTATGGTTGTTAGTGTAGTTAAACCAGTTCACTGACACTTTTATGTAGGACAAGGAAACCGAATTGGATAGACCAAAAAAAAACATACATAAAACAAACCTATTATTGCTACAACTAATACCACTACTATTATCAATACAACTGAATCCATTTAATAGTACTACACACAAAATCAATTACAATTACTATCTGCTTCCTGAATACAATACAAAGAAATTTGTGGCATAGAATGAAACAGTCCATTTATTTATTTATTGAATAATTAAGTCATATGTTGTGACGCTTCGTATATACATACAGAGAGAGAGAGAGAGAGAGTAGTGTACAGTAAATACATTTATTGAAACTAACATCCATACGAAACATTATCGACAGGTTAAGGTAACATGTAATAACATCTAACTGCTAGAAGTTAGTTCTGTTTATAGTAAAATTACAGATTGATTGAAGATCTTTCTTTTACAAGTCAAGTTGAATTGTGTCTGAATTTAAATAAAGGAAATAAAAGTTATGGAATTCATTGCACGCAGAATGAAAAAATAAGTGTATATGATATACTTTAACTTGGGAGATCAACCAGTGTTGAATGTTGTTAGAGGTATGAGGATAGTTATCACTTCCCGCACTGATGGCGGGTTTTTCTAGAGATACCTGAAAAGGAAATAGTATTAGAGGTGGCCTTAGTGACCCCAGTACGCAAGAGACAGTTGCTAAAGGCCGGTCACACACGACCTTTTTGTGAGTAATTTTCGTGTTAGCTCCGTACTTGTTGTGACCTTACCGACGAAGCCGGACATTCGTGCGATAAGGTGAGGTGTGCATTTTTAAGGTCAACCTATTCTAACCCAATCTTCCCTTTGTGGAAAGACAGGATAGCTGCTATGCTGGTCGTCTGAGGGAAACACCTTACTGCCATCACACCTCTGTATATCCAGCAGTACGACTTCGCCCTCGGACCTTGAGTTTCAGTTTTACCGCTCTTCAATCATATTATTATTATCAGTTAAACATGTAAATATTGGTACAAGGAGGCACCAAATACATATGCGCCACATAAATCATTCCATTTATGTGAGGACTAGGATACTGCCCGAGTGCCCAAACCGAAGCAGGTGGTTTTCTTAGGGGTCACACTTCCAGCCTTTGACCTACAGGTCTGATCCACAAAGCAGTGGAGCATCGTAAGGAGATACAGTCCCATGGTAGCCGGTGACCAACGATTGCTTTATACGCCAATTGTTCATTCAGGATACTGGAGCCCATGTGCACCATTGGTTAGGAATCAGGGTTTTCCAACCCCCCTAGGTGGACTCTCCATGTCCACCAACCCGGTTAAAGCTCCGGACATTGGCTTTTCGTTCTCTCAATTTCGTAGACAACACCCCCGCCACGAGAAGGTAGTGAGTAGAACTTCCCTGGAATTGGTTGTATGCACGTGGCCATGTGAGAGGATTTCGAGGAAGAGAGCTGACCCTCCCCACTCTCGGCCGTACCAGGGCATTTGAGAACCTTTTTTGCTCTTCAACCAACCTGTCTGGCATGACAGGACATTAAGGAACCATTGTTCCAGTCAGTATAACCCAATTGGTTCATTACGATAGGCAAGCCTGACCACCATGTGAAGGTAGTGGCAACGGTCGGGAACGCATCTCATTTAAGCGTAGAACTTTATACCAACACCAAAAGCAGTCCGCAAAATTGAACGCATTCAATCATTGGTTACGATAGACAATTTAGATAAATTCATGTACTGTTAAGACCTTATTATCAGAGTATTATAATATCTTGTCGAAGGATAACTACTAGATGCTCACCTGCATTATGAACAACATCGATGGAATGATGATTAACCCTAGTGAAGCTTCAACCATGAGAAAAATACAGCGAAAAGTAGTAGGTTAAACAGTAAACCTATATTGCATTTCAGTAACTTAGAAGAAATGTCATATAAAGCATTATCAGAATTTATAAATAGAAATCCTTACTAAATGTTTTCATCTTGAGACAAATTTGGCTAATCAAGTCTATTATTATCAACAATTAGACTATCATTGTATGAAGTTGTTTCCAATTATATACTTCATTTATTACAAAATTACTATAATATCAACCATTATCTCAAAAATGAACGTGGTAAGACAAAAAAATGCATATATTTGTTATATCTGGTTATTCTAAGGTCGTAGTTTGTATGGAATACACTTCAAGGCAAAGAAATAGTGAATAGTGTTATGACAGAACGAATATTGTAAAGATTGGAACAGGTTTTTTGAATCATTAACTATAATATTGTTGCATAATCACTGAGTAACTGAATCAATATGTATATATATTCCACTTATCATAAGTTTTCGGTTGACTCATTAACTAATGTTGTGAGATATGCTATTCCTAATTTATTGCCTGTCAATTACTCACAGTCCCCCCTATTCACTAGCACTTTTGGCTTATTCATGTACAATGGTTATTTCTCATTTTATGGTGTGGTACCATCTGGTATGTTCGTACGTAAACCACGTCCGTTTGAAATATATATTAGAAGTTAATTGATGACTTTTTGACTTTAAAAAAGGGCTTTCGAATAATGAACCAATAGGAACCTAGCCGCCGGCTCAAAGTCAATAGTGCTGGTCGAGCGTGTAGTTGGCTAATTTAGAGATACCAAGCTATAGAGTAAATAACAGACCTAATGAGAACCAGGATTCTGATTGGTGATTTGGCGAGTGATATTTGTCAACAGGTATTGAAGACATAAAAACACTACCCACATAATAACCAAATATTGTGCTTCTCAACCACAGATTCATTTGCCAACTAACCTGACTCCAAGGAACAATCGTTCCAACCAATCAGGATCAACTGAGTCATCAAGGCAGAGGAGCTCCAATACCATCTATGGTCAAAGAAGGTGGTTAACAGGTAGTCACTGACACTTCGATAGTTATATGAAAGTAACACAAACGGTGAATACAAATGGTTGTAAAACTTCAACTGGGAAAACTGAATCAATTAGATACACTGCTGACTAGGAATATTCATATCATATTTACCCATATTATTTGTTTGAATAGAGAAACCTGATAGAGCGTGGACAACACCCAGAACCATCAGCTCCAAATGTTCACCAAGTCAAGCATCATGAACAGCATAACACAACCAACAAACTAAGCAAGTTAAGGTTTAAATAGTAACTACTATTTCTTTAACGAACGTTTAATATGCATTTTTGTTGAAATACAATTATGTATTGACCTATTTAACTTGGCTTTAAGTAGATAATATTCGAAAAAATGCTACATTTTAAAGGTATGCGACGATATATATATCAACAGAGAAAGAAATTTTATTACTTGATAAGTTACTAGGTTAACGAGTATCGGTTATAATCAATCTGCATGAATCATATATTACATAAACATAACAAAGAATGTGTTTATTTAAAATTTACATTGTCATCACTACTTTTGGTACTATTTGTTACATAATTCACGTAACTTCATGAGATAAGATAGTTCAGTGGAATTAAATGCAGTGATAATCAACTAATTTGATGAGAGTTTATCTCATTATGAATCAATGTCATTAATAATTAGTAACTAGTGACGAGATAAACTTCCTCCAGTTTCAGTGAGAAGTTATGTTACATGAGGTCAACTAAATTGAGAGCGACGACATACGGTCGACGATGATAGTGAATGGTAGTCACAAGCGACAGGTTAATGCTTAAGGCGTTCGACATTTAACCACTAAGTCGAAGGTTAGAGCCCCGCACTACCAGCTTCGATTTGGGCAACCGAGTAAAACTACTAATCCTAATGCATAAAGTGTGGCTCAGAGTCAAGTATACAAATCTACGCCTGGTTAATGAGTTAACAATAATGATAATAAATAGTGAAATTCAGAAATCAACTGAAATGTTAAACAGTGGTATAAACTAGTAGATGTTCTGGCGTTTGAAGCGATAGTACTGAGTCTGAGATTCGTAGTCAACATCCTCATAGCTACAAATACATTTATTTATTTATGTGAACACATAAATATTGGTACAAAGTGGTAACGAATACATATGCGCCACACAAGTTACTTGATTTGTGTGTGGGCTATGATATTATGATACATCCAGTTAAGGAATCCTAATTGCAATGAAATGCACATCCTGGATTTGATCAACAGCTCTGTTGGATACACATGTCGCAATTTACATACAAATCAATTTCACCAACAACAATAAATCAAAGATACGATAATATCTTCGCGGTTTTTAAAATAGAATTTTGTTTGAAATGTCTTGAACTTTTTTCTAATGCATTGGACAGGATAAGAACATGGCACCCATTAACTAACACTCCAGAGCTCTATTCACCAGACAATACGGTCTTGACATGTTTTATCTATATTAGGTAAAGAATGTCTATGAAGTGTATTACGTTTTTACTTCTCCTAATACTTATTTTTACGTGTTTAGTCTGATGACACATGAGACCTATGTAAAGAAATCCCTTAACAAAAGCAGAATCAAAGGCAACTGAATTCGACGGAAATAAGAAATAAATAGGAATCATAATAATAAAAAGAGAAAGCAAATGCATTATAAAAGGAAAATATTCAGACAACATCAATAGCAGTAGTGAGAAAACAAAACGCCAAAAATTTCTTACCTCAGAGGGTAACTCAGTCAATTGATTTTGATCAACATTCAGATGAAACATGGAGACTAAATTGCCAATAGAAGACGGGAGTTTCTGAAACGAATTTAGTAATATAGAAATACATTGATATACTGATACACACCAATAAATAATTACGTTACTAGTATAGGGGTTGTGGAGATTATTAAGTTTTTGATTGAGATCATGAACCGATTGATGTTAGACCACCACCCCTGGAAACCTGGAAGCACTGAACGGCTGTTTGGTCCTATTGTGGGACTCCTCAGCAGCGTGCATCCACGATCCCGCTCGCGGGATTCGAACCCAGGGCCTTCGGTCTCGCGCGCGAACGCTTAACCGACTGGACCACTGAGCCGGTATCCAATGGTGATAGTGTCTAACATCAACTAATCTCAATCGAAAAATAATTACGTATAAGTGCACTATACCGTAAGTTACAAGCATATGGTAACTTTATGAACTAGGTTATCTCTGTTAGTTAGGGCTGTAATTTTAACGTTTTTACATATCACCAAAACATTTAGCAGTGCCCGGTAGATTGAAATAAAAATTTGAAAGACAATCGTAGTCTACTCAAAATTTTTAAACTGTCATCTGTTAAAGTTATATATTGGAAGACAGTCAAGTTTGTTGCATATATACATTCACACACTACATAAAAATCTCTAACATTGATGGAAATCCATAAGAATTATTTTAGTCACTGAAGTAAAGAAATGGATAGGTGTCATAAATGAAAAGCAAATCGATCAATCAGAAAGAGAGAGAGTGAAACTGAAAAATGACTAATGCAATATAGCCAACTAAGCTCAGTCAATTATCAGTACTTCACTAAACACCAAGCAATAAAGATTTTGTAACTTTCCTAATGAATTCGCCGATTACGGAAAATAGTAAACTATTTACAGGTGAGGAAAATACTTGTGTACACGGTAGGTATTCAAGGAAATTTTAAAAATAATCGAAATGAAAGAAAAATCCTAGAACTATCAGGTGGTATTAACAAGTTATCAGATGTCACAAGCGAACATAATCATTATGATGACTTTAATTTAAACGAATAATTATTTTGTAACCAGCTACTATGGGACAAACATCAAATACACTTCAACCATATATCTACATTAAGAAAACATTATCGTATGTAGAACGCCGTCATAAAAACTGAATCGATATAATTTATTTCTGTAAGGTTATGGTGACTTAATTCCAGCACATAAATTGCAAATATTCTCATGAGATTAACGGTTTGACCTACACAAATTTGTCATGTTATATACACATATATAATCAAAATGTGTGATTAACGGGTTAATATAAACCAGTTTTGATTGATAGTAAAATATCATACGTTTAAGTCAGAAAATTCTTTCCCTACGGCCTTCATGAAAATAATTTCTATGACAAATATTTTCATTCATTACACATCATGAGTGTATATTGTTAGATTGGTTCAAGTAAATGAAAATAATGAAATAATCCGAAATCTTATCCTGATATTTTTACTGATACACAAAAAATTCTTAGAGAAAAATAATATTTATTGAAGTACACCCATGCAACAATTTAATTCAGTAAAGGAATCCTTTCCAACGAGCTCATTTCCAAAGCTATACAATCGTATATATTACATATAAGTCAATGAATAATTAATTGTATATCTGTTAGAATGTGACTGGTAGTTATAGGAAATATTAAATAAGAATGATTGGTTCAGCGAAGAGTCAAGCTGGGGATAAACTCCACGTTTTTAAGTCATATAAGTATATGGAAGTCAGCAATTGCGGTTAGATTTTCATTTATTTAGTCACTCAATTGTAGATATTTTAGAATATTTTCTAATATAGAATTAATTGGAGGTATATCTTTTGCTAGATTGCAATCTTTCTTCCATATCATAACTGGCTGATCTATGGTTGACACGTCTGTAGCATGATGGAGTGATGGAGAAAATTTGTAGCTCAGGTGGATGATTTTGGTGGAGTTTTGTTCTCTGAGCTGGATGGTTTGGTCGTGGAGCTTTCATCGTTCTTCTGAACGACATCATCAGCACAAACTTCAGACAGAAGTGAAGTGTTCGAATTTCTCCATGTGTGTTTCACAGCTTGTTCTGTGCACCTCGATGTTGATTGGTTCTTGTTGACCTTAAATTTATCATTGTTTACTTCTTTGTTTTGGTTGTCTCCCATTGGTTTGATTTTTGTTCCTGTATTTATGCATGATTTTCCTGATTGGTTGATAAATTGGATTAATTTCAATATGTTTGTTGATTGCTGATTGACCTGAGTGCCAGGCTTCTGAAAATTCTCTGGTTTTTTTTAAGTTTCCTCTGTCTAAGATTTCTACATTTTCCCAATCGAATGAGTGTCCGTAGTTATCCACGTGTATTGATATAAACGACGAGATATCATGGCGTTTGACTGCTAATTGATGTTCATGTAAGCGTAAGTGGAGGGGGCGTCCGCTTTGTCCGATGTAGTGTTTGTCGCAGTTAGTACAATTTATTTTGTAGATGATGTTTGATTTGTTTTCCTTTGTTATTTCATCCTTTGGTTTGCATAGGATTGATTGGAGTGATTTTGTTGATTTGTGTGCCACACCTATCACGAAGGTTTTCAGCAGTCTCGTTGCGGTTTCTGATATTCCTTGTATGTAAGGTAGGGTGATCCTTTTGTTGATTTTTGTGCTTGACTTGGGTTCTGATGCTGTGTGCCGTTGGTGCTTTTGGTGAAGTTGATTGGGTAGCCGTTCTTTCGAAATATGACCTTCAGGTATTTCCCTTCATTTTTTCGTGCTGCCAGTGTGCTGCAGTGTGTCATCGCCCTCTTGAACAATGTGTGTACGCAGTTGATTTTGTGAGCTCTTGAGTTGTTGCTGTTGTAGTTGAGAATTTGATCTGTATGGGTCGGTTTCCTATATACTTTAGTTTCCAGTTTTCCTGTGTCAGTTCTAGTGATCAATATATCCAAGAATGCTAGTTGGTTGTTTGACTCCTGTTCCATTGTGAACTTGATGTCATTGAAAACGTTGTTGATCAGTTTGTATGTGTTTTCCAGTTCATTCTTTTTGACGATGACGAAGGTGTCGGCTACGTAGAGAATCCAAATTTTTGGCTTGATCACTGGTAATATCGTGGCTTTTAGTCTTTGCATCACTGCCTCTGCGATCAGTTCTGATATTGGTGATCCCATGGGTGTCCCAAAACAAAGAAGTAAACAATGATAAATTTAAGGTCAACAAGAACCAATCAACATCGAGGTGCACAGAACAAGCTGTGAAACACATATGGAGAAATTCGAACACTTCACTTCTGTCTGAAGTTTGTGCCGATGATGTCGTTCAGAAGAACGATGAAAGCTCCACGACCAAACCATCCAGCTCAGAGAAAAAACTCCACCAAAATGATGGAGTGATATTTTTGTCGCAGAAAACTTAACATTTCTCATGTAAGCCAGAAAAACGAGATAACGAAACATGGAGACCAGCATGGATTACAAAAGAGTAAATAACATATCCTGCCTCATTTTGGTTGGTTACCGAGAGCAAGGTCAAAACTGAGGACGAAAGTATAATTTATCTTAACCCAAGAGTTCCCTTTTCAGCGAATTCATTTTCAGAGCTGTTCAAAGTCATCTACAGGGTAAGTAGAAAACTGCCAAAGACAGCTATATTTCATCTTTTCAACATTACCGAAGCACTACCTATACATATGGAAAAACTAGAATTATGCGTCCAGACGAAACCTGCACAACCTTCCCTTCTACCATGGTCATAATCTCTCGTGTTTTTTTCTTTTTTCGAATCCATCTTCTCAATTAACCTTCAACCCCCAACTGATATATTTATTTTTCTATGATCTTTCTGATTATAGTTCATTCCAATTTCAACATTTTATCATACTGAGTCTTCCCTTCGCAATTATAATTTCCTTATTTTTCTTCATGATGAATATTTAAGATCCCAGAAACAAAATTACTAATAGTTTCCTTAATAAAAAGAACATTTTTATACTCTTGTTTATTCTATCTCACTGTTACTATGTTTAACAGAATTTTATCACTATTATTGTAATTATTATCGTTTTGAAGAAAAAGTATATATTTGCAACTGTACAGCTTTGAAAATGAATTCGCTGAGAAGAGAACTCTTCCTTGAACCAACCTTTCTTGTTTTATGCTTCAATGGGTATATTCCGTTTACCATATGAAATATGGCTACGTAATTCTATTCTATTGATCATATATTTCTCATTTTTTGCAAATTCTTTCTTTCAATACTTTGTTTATGAAAAAATTATGTAGTCAGATCTTACAGAATAGCTAATTAAACTCCAACATATATACAATTAATTATTTGCTGATCTATAATTTATCATATATAATATATACGATTGTACAGCTTTGAAAATGAACTTGTTGGAAAAGATTCTTTTCCTGAAAATAGTTATTTTATAAAGAAACAATATTGTATTATAATTTGACTTCAGACCATAAAAATTGAAGACTATGAGTGAGTACTCTTGAGGAGACTTCAAAATATTACGAAACAAGTGTTCAATGCTACCTGATTTTCAGATGATTTTCCAGTTGATGTCAGTTTATGATCAAAGCTATAATTAAGTTTTAAAAAATTTCACAAGACGATTTTAATTAGACATATTATGAAGATAATCTATATTCAAAATGTTATATTGAGCATAGGTACACTGATTATTAATATATACTTACAGAAAGAAAATTTTCAGTTAAATATAATTCTTGTAAACTGGAACAGCTGAAATCAACAAAAGAAAGGTGTATTTTTTATAAATAAAACTTAATATTGAATGATGAACATAACCAAAATGATAAAATTGCCATTTAATTCGTCAAATAGAAAGATATGCATGACGACAACAAAAGTAATATCTATCTCATGATGAACAATTTAGAAATATAACGTTTACACAACAGTGGTTTATGCACGAGAATTTCCATCAATGCGTTTCGACATCAAGCGTTACCTCAACTACGTCAGTCGGGCAATGTCATCATAGCTACTACAAATATATGTATCCCATAGGTTAGTACAGGAGCGTGTAATAGGTTCGTTTAGTGAGAAGACTTTCTCACACCTATTGAGTTTCAGCTAAGCTGGTGTGCAAATTATCCATCATTATCACGATAGTCAAAGTTTTGTGAAGTAAATGAAAAGTACATCCACTACAAATGAAGTATATTTGGTACTTATTCGAATAATAAAAAATCCAAACTTCAAGGACCTAGGATTATACAATAACAAAAAATTTTTTCGTAAATACCACACCTGAAGAAGACATATTAGATAGGAAACCCAAACGCTTCATCATAGTCTTCACAATGGTCAGTCAATGAATAAACGTTATGACACGTTCTCCTTTTATGTGAGTAGATACAGAAATAAACTTGACCCTTAAAATGTGGAAGTACTATGTAGAAAAAAACAATACCTCAAAGAATTTTTCAGTGTGCGATACCGAATGTAGACCTAATGAGATATATTCAATGACCAGGAAAACGCATTAAGATGCAGATCCAAACAATGATTAACACAAGTAGTGAAAACAACAAATAAAATTATCGAGTCAGGATACTAACCGATTTATAAAGAATCTAAATCTATTTTTTCTAGCAATATTGTCTAGTATGCTGATAAAAATCACACAGTTAAACTAAAGTAAAGTGTTAACGAAATCATGCATATATGTGCCAAAAAAGTGTTAGTTTAGTAGAAACAAGGATTTTAAAAAAGATCAAATATGATAAAACGTAAAACAATCTAGCATCATAGGGAAGCAGATCAAAAGTCACATGATGACAGTAAAGTCTCGTCAAGGCGAATGCATTAACAGATGAAGTTTATTTCATTTCTAAATGTAAAAGCCACTGATTTGTAATAAATCAATTCATTTTATGAACAGATATGTGAAAACATAGCACATAATATTATCAAAGACAATGCCCCCAAATGCCTTGGTACGACCGAGAGTGGGGAGAGTTAGCCATCCCTCTCGAAATGCTCTCACACAGCCACGTGCATACAACCAATACCAGGGAAGTTCTACTCACTACCTTCTCGTGGCGGGGGTGTTGTCTACGAAATTGAGAGAACGAAAAGCCAATGTCCGGAGCTTTAACCGGGTTGGTGGACATGAATAGTCCACCTAGGGGGGTTGGAAAACCCCGATTCCTAACCAATGGTGCACATGGGCTCCAGTATCCTGGATGAACAATTGGCGTATAAAGCAATCGTTGGTCACCGGCTACCATGGGACTGTATCTCCTTACGATGCACCACTGCTTTGTGGATCAGACCTGTAGGTCAAAGGCTGGAAGTGTGACCCCTAAGAAAACCACCTGCTTCGGTTTGGGCACTCGGGCAGTATCCTAGTCCTCACATAAATGGAATGATTTATGTGGCGCATATGTATTTGGTGCCTACTTGTACCAATATCTATATGTTAAAATAAATAAATAAAATCAACTTGAAACCTGACACAAATATGCACCGATCTTAACTGTAAGAATTCACATTAGCATAGAAAGAAAACTGACATTTAAAATGCGGAGTGAGAGCAAATATGTCGGTACAATAAAATCATTAAAAAAGGAGCAGCTAATTCACATAAAGAAATTGTCACACACTTCAAATGATCAACACTGAGGATCAATTCATTTCACTTTGAATATGTAATAATTTTTAACTTACTTTCCTATAGTTGGTGTTACTGTTAGCAGTCGATTTTGATTGAGCTTTAAAATGATCAACTTGTCTAAATCACCTTAAGAATGAAAATAACGATAACAGGTAAGAAAAATTATATATATATATATATATATATATATATATATATATATATATATATATATATATATATATATATATATATATTATTCGCAATAATCCTGGGAAAGATACTTACGAAGATTATAAACAGTTAACCCTTTCAATATCTGCTAGTCAATTTACCTGTTCCTGTAGGGCAATATATATTAGTCGTTCGGTGAGCATTTAGTTCACGAGCGTTTAGAAAACGTACGTTGAATGGTTAAAGAAACGTAAAAGTGGCTGCACAAGAAGTGTAGTTATAGAATAGCTTGTCAATACCGACCATGAAATTAGAAGAGGTTCAGTTTGCAAGGTCCTTTACAATTTGACCACAAGACTACTAAAAACGGTATGTTTCTATCTATTTGCTATTGTTGAAACTCTCATTATGTACAAAGAAACTCGAACTATGGATACGAAATAAACTTGTCCAGCATCCTATCTTACTCTATATTTTATTTGTTAGATTTTACAGATCATCATTGCTCTCCATTAATTTATTGAATTTATAATCCAACCATTTACTTTTGTTTGAGTGATCATCTCTGATATATTTTATTTTCGATGTTTATATCACTATGCTGAGTATATAGATTCAATAATTATCATTTTCTATTTACTTTTTACAAAATTATTAATTCAACTTTGAGTCGACAATTAAATACGAGTGAAAATTTTTGTGTTTAACTTTTGTCGCTGTAATTAATCATTGTCACTATAGACTATCATTGTGAAAATATATACATATGGAATTATCAAAAAGGTCTTTTCAATGGACCACATTCTTGATTCGCTGTACAACTGTGAAAAATAATTTTAGTTAGGTTAAAACTTATCTAAGTTTAAGTACTCAAGTACGAAAGAATGACCTGAGGGTTTGATTACTTGGGAAGATTCAAACGTTTACATGTAATATATCTTTATGTAATGTTTATGAGACTTATAGTTCAATATTTAAACAAGTAGCATTTACTATGTATTAAGTCAGACCGTTGGACAAGTAGTATACAAATTAGATAGAGAAATTAGCATGAGTGTCGGAATATTCGGGAATAATGTATTTCTGAACTTTGGAATATTTTCCCATGTTGATGACAATATGCAAATAGTTTGATTACTTTAAATCCACAAATATTGATATTATTAGCTCGCTTCTAACGTCATTAGTTAAATCTTTGGACGTTAAACATCAGACCAAGCTGTAAAAATCAGAAGAATATAAAAATGTTCTCAAGAAGAATATACAAAACTTCATTTTTTTGTACATCAATTAGAATAATCAGTACTTTTGCCCGGTATCTGACAGCAGATATCAAGATGAAAACGTCTACTGATAAAATCTCAAAATAAGGGTCTTTGGGAAAAAATAATTAGTTGACTACAAACTCATTTAATTCTGTTTGACATATAATGAGATAAGTAAAGATCAAGCTGTGCAGGTTATTTATAAAAATAATAATAAATTACAATTCCTTACCTAAGCCATTTGGTAAATGTGTTATGCTATTTTGTGATAAATTTAGGTCCGACAGTGAAACTAATCCCGAGATGCTTTCAGGCAGAGTAGAAATAAGGTTTTCTGATAAATCCAACTGTTGCAAATTCCCAAGATTTCCCAACTCCTTGTAGTTTGGTTTTTTCATATACCAAAACACAAACGTAATGTGAAGCGAAGTGAAAATAAATGAAACAGAACCGTTTATGTATTAAAATCTACGGTTGGTCCTTTGTTTTATATAAAAGAAATGTATGCACAACACAACTGTGAAAAGACAAAATAATACAAGAAACAGAAATGTTTAGCTTCCCCTCACCACCAGTATAATTAATGGTTGTAGGCGGTGGGTGACATGGCTCAAAATTGGTCAGTGGTCCAGATGCATTATCTGTCTTCCCTCAGATCATGAGTTCTAAAATAATCTTACACTAGTTATTCAGTACATTCATTCTTTACTCCCGAAATATATTGCCTGTGCATAATCTTTTTTACTACTGCTGATACTTACTACTTCTATTCTGGTACTAGTCGACTTAAACACAATTGGCATGATGTAAATTCTTTTGTCCATGGATTTGAAATAGAACGTAAAACAGAAACTACACATCCTAGAAGCATCTAATAAACTGTCAATTAATTCGTAATGATTATTACAGATAAAAAAGGATTTGTGGTAGATCTTATTAACAGTCAGCAAATCTAATTAGTATTTTCAGGGTCTACGAAGAAAGCGTTTAACAAAAGACTTTCCGGAATATTTCGGGTCATCAGCTGAATCGTGTATCAGAAAAGGTGAAGATCCGGTTAAATACTAGTTGTCCTCACAATCCAGTCTTTATTTGGTTACAATGAGCTTAAGGTTACAGAAGCTTACAGAAGACGTCAAGATCGATTCCATAAAAAATATGGCCAAATCAATTGCAGGAATTTGTAAAGTTCTCTAGTTTATAGTTGGGAATGTGGCCTATCTCATTATTTTTAATTTCGAGGCGAAATCATGCCTTCACCAGCAAATAAAGTTTAGCTCACACTGCCTGAGGTAGAAATACGAAATCGTGACAACTAATCACTCCGGATGCGACGAAAATACTTTGGGTTAACGCACACTAAGACATAACCCTTTAACTTACTGACGATATCAAGGGCAATCCTCACAGGGTGCACGTATATAAAAAAGAACAGATCTTTCGCAGTCCTAAGCATCAATATATATATATATATATATATATATATATATATATATATATATATATATATATATATATATATATATATGACGTTTAAGTAATCTAAAAAGGGTTTTTAAATTATGAAGAAAAACTGGTAAATGTGATATTTCAGACGGTACCAATTCTCAATGAGGTGAACAGAAGTTACTACTATTTGAGCAACCAATACCGAAAATCATAACAAATCAGCCATGAATGTAAAAGCGCACAAAATGAAAACATTGGTCGACATAATGAAATGAAAGACCACTCACATTTGCAACATAAAGTAAAGCAATGACTTGTATTACCATGTGACCTAAGAGTATATTGCTCAGACTAGCCACACATCTAAACAATACAGCGAGAAAGTAAAGTACCAGTGATTATAAGAAATATGATAGGAACTATAAAAAAAGACAGGGAATTACTGTAAGAGGGGTAGTACGGAATAACATAATTGCAAGATAAAATGTATATTCAATTATATTATTGTGGTTGATGTTCAGCCAGGCCGCTAAAAGTATCCAATATAGGATTCTTAATACTTCATAAATCTTATTGTCTACAACTCCAATATATATAAATCAAAATGGTATATGCAATACAGGATGCATATAGCTACTACACAAAAATCTATATGCAATGCCCTCAAAAACAGAGAAATTAACAGTAAAATGCAAGCACGCGAATTGAATGATAGCCGCATTAAAATTCGTAAGAACCAAGAGTAGGGAATAATAGGAGTTAGTGGGTGGTGAGATCAAAATATATATAAACCGTAAAAAGGTAAAAATAAATTGTTTATAGAAGAGCAACCATTCCCCCAAAAAACAATTAGTAAATTAAATATTTTCTCAACAGACTAGATAACAGATACAAATACATGCCACAAACGGATAGGTACATGATCATTAGACCAAGTCGCCATATTTTACTGCAGTACAATAGAAGAGAACTGATAATAGAATAAAGCAAAAGGCTAAAACTGATAAACAAAATAATTTAAGTCAAAATAAATGGATGAAGTTAGAGAATGAAAAGTATCAGATAATAACACGTCCAGAGCTTAGGAAAAAAATAGTGGATAATTGGATCTGAGCAACTTTAATCAACTAACTTGCACCATGAGTGACTGGTACAGTTAATTTACATTAATTATTAACTGTCAAACTTCGAATATTAAGTTAGATCGACCAGATGATTTTATTTTAAAGATAACTTGTTTTTCTACAGATACGAAAGCTATCACGCTTCCAACTAGTACGTTAATAAAAAAACGAAAACTTTATTAAAATTACATCTTACTTCAGGTAATGATCTCAATTCATTATCATCTATCCATAATTCGCTCAATTGAGAAAGCTGACCAATTACGGGAGACTAAATAAAAGTGAAAATTAAATTTTTAGAAAACTAAACTCTGTAGAGCCACGAAAAATACAATGAGATATATGTGTGCATAACATAAATGTAGTTTCTGGGAAATGATACTTACCTTTTACCCACCAGTTCAAAGGATGGTTAAGCGAACTAGGCTAGTTAATATTGTGGATGTGGGGGTGGTGGCTAAACCACACACTTAATACCTGTTAAATACAAGTTCATAATGGATATGTTTGTGTACACCACTTTCCAGCAGTTAGGTCTTATTATTACTACCACTAACTTCTGTATTATAGTGTGTTTGATTGGTAAGCCAGAAAGGCACAGAAATTAATCTGAAGCAGAGGACTAAGCGTAGTTTTCGTTGTAATCAGCATGTGGCAACTTAACATGTTTCACATTCATGAGATAGAAAGTGTTAAAATGAGCAAACAATTTTCTAATTATACGATTTGTTTAGATGACAAAAAGTGTGGGGAAAAACTCACCAACTCTTGAAACTCATTGGCACCAAGATCAAGAAACTCCAAATGAATAAGATCAGCGAAGGAATCTGGTATTGACTTGAGACAATTATCACGAAGTTCTAATTTTTCTAGTAACTGTAAACTGAAAGAAAATAAAGATGTATTATGCCACAACTAGTCTTAATAAATTTGAAGTCATTTAGATATGTCCATCAGGAAAACACAATTCTCACCCTTTGATGGCAATTACAACTTGCTTACAAGCAACAGCAGCTGGCATCCATACAAACCTGAATGATTCTAGTGAGACCAATTGCTTCTTTCTAAACGTTTACTTAATATTACAGCTGTCAAACGACATAAAACCGATGGTGGACGAGAATTAACCAAAGATACTACGTGAACTATGCTGAAAAAAATCTTTATCATACTTAGACGTAAACGAGACCTAATGCTCATCACGCTTAAACTTTATGCAACACTAGTATACTGATGAAGCTTAGTATGACCATTTAGATTAACGCACAGTTATGCTAGACTTTATGTTGAATATAACTGACTGGTAGAGCGTGGGTAATAAGTCAATCTAGTCAATAAAGAAAAAGCCTTATCGTTGGCATACGTGATTTTGTATAAAACTGTTTCGAATCTAAAGAACAACAATGCGATCGAATTTCTCATTTGTTACTACCAATAGCATTCAAATTATACTTAAAAGATAACTATATGACACTAGGATTTTTCAAATTTATAAGTAGCAGATCCACCCAGGTCACCGGGTTAAGTGAAAACACTGAATAAAGAACATACGGAAGGTAGTGAATAAATCAACTGCAATGGCTAATAAATTACATCCAATTTGTTTTTTCTTCAAAAAACCTGAACACCTCACTGACCATCTATTTTTTTCTGCAGAATCATTTAGGTTTTATAGAGTTGGTTTCAAGTGTAGAAACTTGAATTTGTGAGATCTCGTTCAGCATTCCAGGCTTAGACGTTTGTCAGAACTATTCAAATACATTTTAACCAACAGCAACAAACCAATTGGGCACGATCAGCTTACACATACAAGTAATGCTTTCAAGTAATTCCTTACAGATTTTCACGGAATGCAATCGAAGTAAAACCAAATCAATAACCATATATTTTTGCTAAGGTCAGGATAATTTTCGAGTCGGAAAATTATCACCCGAATAACTTAAGTTTTCAATACCAGTCCCATGAATAAAAACCAATTAGTCGCTCAAGTTTAGTTCATTAGACTGATATTATATCAACAAGTCCTTCAACAACAGAGGTATCATGTCTTTCAATTTCATTCTATGTTAAGTGCTATGTTGGACACCCTTTTGAGATTTCTCTTTGTGCTGCTGAAGAAACTTGAACTGATTTGCTACTATGTCGAGTTCTGAGTTAGATTATTCAAGTAATTAAAATGGACGCCTTTAAAAACATGTATAAAGTAGCACGATGTTACTATATAATTAGTAAACTGATTTGATATTTTGCTTACGATTACAAAAACAACAAAAAACCTACCTGCCCATTTCTTCTGGAAGCTCAGCAATCGAAATATCATTAAGACATAAAACTCGAAGATTGCGCAACTGGCAGAACCCAGCAGGTAAGCTGGAATTGATAGAGTGGGATAGATGAGTTAATATAGTCGGAAAACTCATAGCAACATTAAATGATAAACTCAGGTTCTGTAATACTCATAAAGTCACATCCTGTTTTGAAAAAATAAGGTACTATGGTTTTTTTCCGAGAAAAACACTAGCAACTGATTCCACTTGTTTTTATGAATATAATACAATACATATACTTGTCTTTGTAGTTCAAAACAATTTAAAGTAGGTAGAATAATAAACCTTTAATTACAAGGTTTCAAAGTGAAGGGAACTAAAAGTGAGCCGATTAACTGCACGAACATCCGATTTATATGCACAGTAAATTATTAATATGTAATATCCCGCAATAGGTACCATTTATTACCGTTCATATAAACATGTGGTTACACACAACATTCAGACCTTCAATTTTTGACACTGGATAATGGAGAATAATTTAAATTTTCACTGAAAACATAGGGTAATAAATACCATAGACTACTAATGCCATTCAGAAAGCAGGTAACATTTTATAAAACTGATAACTAGAACAAAATCTTGAGCGACCTAACAAAATAAAAGAAATCATCTCATCTTTCAAACTTAAACAACTTTAAATATGTTGATAGAGTTTAGACTAAAGTCGACTTGTCGACATCTTAGTCATAATAACAACGAAATATACCTTTAGTTCATAATAATGCAAAATAATGATGTTTTTTCTGGAAAACGGGACATGAAGCCTGGTAGTTCATCGTGATTTTCGTTACGTTTACGAGACACTTAAGACGAGATACTTAAATAGTAAAATTCGTGGCGAGATTTATTATATGAGTCAGCGGTACTAATTATTGAGTCGAAAAGGAATAAATATGATGGATTTTCGAAATTTTGTTTAGTATACAGCTGTGCTTTACTGAGGCTGCAAGTTGGGCCTTATTACTAGTTTCTGATGTCTGAGTCGTAAGTACCGAAAACACTGCCGGGGTTTGAAACCCAAAAATAAGACACTAAGGAGATATATGTTACTGAGAATTATAATGAAGTGTTCAAGCATTCAAACGAAATACAGGTGGCATGAGAAATATAACTAACTATATTTTGACCTAGACAACCAAATTTTTACCCAACCGCAAACGTTATTACCACAACATTCGTTTAAATTTAGTGCATGTCACAAGTACGAACTGAATATTTGTATACCATATTTCAATTATCGATAACCCACCTTTGCAAAGGATTATTGCTTACATCCAAACTCTGTAAAGAATCACAGAACCGAATACTCGCGGGAAGCTCAGATATATCTGGACGTATGAAGAAAGGTTAGCCGTAATCATACCATTTCTACTAATGTCCAACTCCACAAGATTAGAGAAGCTGCCAATTCCAGTTGGCAAGCGTGTTAACTCATTATCACTGAGCGTGAGGAGACGAATGCGCTTCAGGCGGAAAAAGTTCTGAAACAAATCACAGTGAAAATCATTGAAACCATTCCATCTCAAGCAAGATTGTGTTAAAAGTAGTTTTAAATACCTTTGGTAATTCCTTGATTTGATTAGCATCTAAACGACACTCTTCTAACGTGCGAAAATTTCTTATTACGTCATCTGGAACTTGTTCAAGCTTTGAATGACGTCTATCAATATGATCTATATGTCGACCGCAAGGTCCTATGATTGGCAAACACTTGAACATTATAAATCATCGACAGACATTTCGTAATATTGCGCCATTTCGAATTGAAGGTTTTACAGTAACAATGACCCAGTAGAACACAATCAATGTAGTGCTTTGAAAACACAGACCTGGTGTTCCACGTGAACTTTCTATTTGATTCAGCCTTCTTTTGAAATTTTCGATAGATTCAGATTCGACCATGAGTTAAGATAAAGATTTTCATTCGTTGATGATTCGAATTTGTGCAGTACAGCTCACCGACCCTTGTCAAGGACAACCAACGCGCGTCAGCTAATTGCATGTCACAGACTGGTCCGCGCGGTGTTTGCACTCTCTTCCTTGAACCTACGCTTACCAATATATTGCTGTAATGACGTCGTTTGTGCTGATATCTATAGTACGTCAATACGACTAGTGGATAATCCACGTTAAGTACTAACTTAAGGTATAACCTCAACGTTAGTTGACCGCCAATCATTCTACACAAATCATCTACGTTGGTGATCTACAGAATGTAAAATCGTTGTTAACTGACAAGTAATTAATTCTGAGCTTTTGAAAAAAAACATTGCTCTTTTATCTCCTCAAATATGAATACCACAGGCAACATCAGAGTAGGGGATGTTCAAAGACGCTTCACACGCCAACTGATAGGATGAGACTATACTCTCAAGTACACAGATAGATGTAAGCACCGTAGTGTAAGGAAAAATCTAATATTTATCTACAAAGCAATTTATGAACTCTCATTTCTAACCTCCTGCCCAACTATGATCCATGACCTAGTCTACAGACTAAAAAACAACGCATATACACTGCTTACCGTAAAACACCAAAAACGAATGCGTTGTAATTTTTTTACACTGCTGTATTGTTTTGTGTGGAACAAATTGCCAATATCTATCCGTAACTGTGACACTATCATAAAGTTCAAAACACTAATAACCCTGTTACTAGACTCTGAAGAACTTCAACTATTACCTGAACTGCCTCCCACTAATAAGCTACTTTATTATGGACCGCCTAATATCTAGAGCATTCATGAATATAGCAGACTACATTGTCATGAATATTAGTATAACCAAATTATGGAAAACATGATTTGCCATCTCCCATTATTCATTGAGTATTAGTCATGCCCAAATGTTCTTAACCCTCTCTTTCAGATTTCAAATTTCTCTAATGATTAAAGATACATCATCATTTTCTATAACATTTCTGAATGCTTTTAATTAATAAGTACCTTAATATTAGAGAATTAGATCGAGTAGACATACCTTACTTATTCCCTCATGAACATTTTCTGCTCTGCTTCTCGTCCTTTCTTTTGCTTACACCATTTTTCTGCCCCCTCGATATATGCCACCGAAAACAGATATGGAACGAGTGACTTCGTCCTGCACCATCATATAATTCTCAGAAACTACAGAGGGATATGAAGTTTTGGTTTATAGACCATCAGTTGCACGTCGCAACCCAACCTTCATAAAGCGCGTTAACTGTAATATTTACGATATGTGTCTTACTAAAATCCAGTCTCACTTAGAGTTATTAGTTGTGCTAGAAGATATAGCCTGGATCTTACTACCCTTAACCAGTGGAATTATACAAGGAAGTGTGGTTGATCCATTACTCTTTCTCCTTTTTATCAATGACGTGTGTTCCCTCTTTTAAAATGGTAAGCTTTCCCTTTTTAGCCGATGGCCTAAAACTGGTTTATTCATTCTCTTCTCCTACCAAAGAAGGCTATATTTCAGCATTAATCCAAGAAATGAACAAATGCGAATGGACTGTTTCGCGTAATTTGCCACTTAAGGTTTACAAAAATGGATTTATTCACATTGGTCGCTGCCTTAACTTAAATCTGACTATACACAGACATACACTGAAACCTCTCAACACTGTTCAAGACTTGGGTTTAAATTAAAGTAGCAGTTAAAACTTTTCCGAATACATTTCGTCCCGAGTATTCAAAGCCAGAAAGCTCATTGGATTCATAATGATATATCTCATTAACGTGGAATCAAGATTACTATTATAATATGAAAAATGTATCTTACCCATTCCTGAACATGGTATTTTTAGTTTACAGTAATTGCAGGCATAATGACGTGATTAAAATTGAAGGTGTTCAAAAAAGGTTCACCAAAGCTGTTTTTGAGTATTCCGACAACAAATATTATCAACAAAGATGTCAACAACTCAAAGTATAACCTCTATGGATCAGACGTATCAAATTAATACCTTGTCTTTATCTAGCAGCTAATTGACAGTATTTCCGACTCTCCGGTATCCACCCCTTCATACTTTATGATATCATCCTACAATCTACACAATAAGGAAAATATTTTAGCAATTCCAAGAAACTACACAAACTTGCGCCGGAAATATTTCGTTATTCGCTACCCAACCACGTGGAACAGCCTGCCAGTGGACCTCCGTTGCAGTGAAACTACAACCCGGTTGAGAAGTCTCCGTGTTGATTTTCTTACCGAAAGTGGATTGTATCACCCATTGAATATCAACATGTTTAATAATGGTTTATACAAACTAGGTCCGTCATCCATCTAATTGACTGAAAAGCAAAATGTAACCTTTTAAACTTTCAAAGTATACTTTATTTTTATCAATCTTAATATATGAAGTTTGCTTATGTTCGTGTTATTACTGTTATTAATATCATTATTGGTTCCTCGACACATAAGATATTTGTTTCATCTCTTTTATTCTTTCTACGCATATTTTGTTCCTAAACATACAAAGTCTTGTAGTGTGGCATCGAGTCGCGGTTGATTATGATCCCCACTAGAGGAAGACTACGTGCCAGTTAACCGATATGATCCCTTGTAAGCCAAATATCAGAAGGCAGTTGATGGCTGTAGTCGAAATGTATTTGTTGGCGATCTCGTGGTATCGGAAGAATACCGAGATCATGCCAAAGGAGTACAAGTGTGGTTACTGAGCGTAACCGAATTCGTGCAAAGTCACAATCAAAATGAGGAAGGATGTATATTCTTAGTACAGTTAAACAAACAAGTACAGCAAAACAATCCCTGGTACAATTGGTTATAATAGTAATTGTTTTGATTACACCAATCGCTTTTTCTTGATAAAAGTAGGTCACTACAATTTATAATAACACTGAAATAAATTAAATTACCAGATTCCTTTTGTCTTCACCATATATATATATATATATATATATATATATATATATATATATATAACACAGAAATTTATATCTGAATTTCCTTTGGAATTAATTGTGACTTTCATAGCATCATTCTAAATTATTATTGCACAAACGTTTATACTAATATCCGGTTTCACTCAGTTTACTATTTCATAAATCTACATGTTTTTATCCGAGTGCACTAAATGAATTTTTTAATTGCTGGTTTACTTCAGAGGTCAATATTCATTACACAACTATTATTATCATGGTTGAACCCTTTCACTAAGTGTTAATTTTTTTCTCTTTTTTTCCATCTAAATATTTGTTGTTCTTAAGTTTACAAAGTTTGTAATTAAGACAATAACTTGTGTTACATTTAAATTAACTTCTTAGACTCGTTTTATCTTCACTATGCATATATGACTCACACATATTGATGTTTCGTTATCCTTTTCATTTAATTGAGACTTTTATAGCATCACTCTAAACTATGACTGCACAAACATTTATTCGAGCCTCATATCTTACTGCAATAATAAGTTATTCTTTCTTGATTATTTTCTATTTTATTTTTATTACTGATTTGACGATGCGTACATAGTTGTTTATTCTTGTTTTGTGTTCATAAGCACGCCTATGAAACTACTTGCGTATTTCACGTCTCATTCATTTTTATTGTTTTGTTTTCTCCATTTCCTTCTCTGAACTCAATTCAATATTCTCAATTACACATAACCTGATTTATTATTATTCTATTATTATTTTCCTTTTCAAGTATGACAAATATAATGCTAACATTATTGAAACTTGCGTATTATTGTATTTTTGAAGAAAGCCGAAATGGTTTCTTCACAACACTTATGTACCCATAAGATGTTTGTGGATAATAATAATAATAATAATAATAATAATAATAATTCCTGACGATTCTGCTAGTGTCAACTTCAGTACTTGAATGGGCAAGTATATATCGTCTCTCTACATGTGCTCGTATAATGCATCATGAGCTAGAAACACATTAGGACAAATTGGAAAAAATTTCTAGACATGACTGTGATGCCTAGTTGATGTAAAAATATAACAAATACAGATGGCTTCGCGTAGACCTATGTATTATTTACAATACTTTCTCTATATTATGAACTACCGCAAACAGTTTTAATTTCTTTGGATGCTTGTGTTAATTATGCTACTGATAAAGTTAGCTGATAGTTATAGTAGTTTTTAGTAAAGAACTGAGTGAATACGATAAAGAAAGGATAGAGGAATTGGAGGCTTGCTAGTTGGATTGATATTTGTGATAAGAGGTGTTGAGTTGACCGGTGTGTGAATGTAAATGGTAAATCTGGTAGGTCATACTATGAAAATATACACTAACGAGCTAAACCACGATGTATTTATAAGCCCAACACTGCCAAACGAGTTAATGTCTTGAAACAGATGATAAGAATGGGCACATTTGGGTGTACTGATATAAGTCATATCTACTGTTTGTATAATTTGGTTTTCTGTATGTGGTTTTTTGCGCTTCTTATCTTTTCTAAACTGACATCTCTATTTTGAACAGAATAAGCAAAGTGGTTGATCCAATGAGCAGAAGGATGACATGGTCCTCTTTTGGTCGGGAATTTCAAAGAATATATATAGCCAAAACATTTATATCTTGAAAAGTCACAGTGAAGAAGCACACCACCCACGAATAAACAGGGTGATTCAACGTTTCCTCATACGAAGAAAACATCTGAACATCGTTGCCAGCTTTGGTAAAGCACAAACAATGGGAGGTTACAAGTCATTTGAAAATGAACATATCGGCATTACTGGGTGAATTTATCCGCAATGCGACCACGTTAAGTTATTGTATCTCCCAGGGTCATATGTGCGTTCAAACAACCACAGATTT